CCAGCCAGGCCTGGGGGTTCTTGAGACAGCATCTTAACAATCCGTGAGCTACAGTTCTGGCCCTGGCTCTGCTTGGCCAGGTCTAGGGTGCGGCGGCTGTGACCACTGCAATACCTGGCCATCGAGGGAGTTAAGTTTCAGCATTCTATTCCATGATTTTCAATAGACTTCTAAAATTTTTAAATAGAAGTACTATTTTGTTCTTTAAATTGAAGTTCAGGTAGTAGAGTCTCATTCAGGGTTATGAAGTTGACCACCTGTCAGGCCTAAGCCTATTTCTCCCTCTCTCACTTTTTTTAAGGGGGTGGGGGAGGGGCAGAGGAAGAGAAGCCGACTCCCCGCTAAGCAAGGAGCCCCACACCCAGCTAGAGCCCAGAACCCTGAGATCATGACCTGAGCCAAAAATCAAGTTGGAGGCTTAACCTACTGAGCCACCCAGGTGCCCCAAAGCCTTTCTAAGCATGAAAGTTCCTCCGGCCCCAGCCCAGTGCTAGTGCCCCAGGCTTTGGAAAGCCAAACCTTCATTTATCCTTCATTATTTCCAGTCTCTGAGCCTAGCTCCTCTCAGCCTCCCTACTGCTCTCTTTCAGTGTCCTCAGTAAAGGGGTCGGGTAGTGGGGTCTTTAGGGGCCTTTCAGCCCATCTCCTTTGGTTCCATGGATACAAGACGGTATTCGGGCCAGTGGTCATGAACAGGCTGAGGTTCCATGCCCAGGAGTTTGGAGTACACCCTATTCCTTTCTTCCCCATCTCCCCACACATCTCTGGGGTCTCTGGGCTGAGCAGGAGAGTAAGGGTAAGGCAGCCTGCCTTGTGTCCCAAAGAGTCCGAGATCCCCAAGCAAGAGCACGAAGGGCCTGGGGGCAAAAGGGAGAGGAAAGCTAGGTTACTCGGGGACTAGATTTCTCATTCGGCATCCATGGCCCTGCAGCCCGGTCAGCAGGTCACAGGGTGAAGGCCACATGGGTCTCTGGGGACTTTCACCTTTCAGTGCCCAGATGCCCTGTGTAGGCCACCTGGCTTATCTAAGGCTTCCCACCCCACCCAGTGTGCACTTCATGGCAAGAGTCTACACTGGGGACCTTCTTGCTTCCTTCTCCTTTGGACAAGGTCTGGGTCTGATACGTTAATGGCAGTTAATGGCTTTAGCTGGTAAGTGGTGGAGTCAGCACTCACTTGGTCTCAAGCCAGGAGGAGGGGGCTGAGTGTGCTGTAATCTCTACTTCCCTGGAAAAAAGGCCTGAGAACCTGGCTGGGCCTATGCAGGGCCAGCAGGGAGGGAGGGTGTTCCAACCAGAAGACGGTGGGTCTGAGTCCGTATTTGAGGGCTGAAGAAGTCACAGGATCTCCCCTCGTTGCCTGGCATCTGCCTAGGACTTGGGCAGCAGGTTCTAGTGGAGGAGAGTTGAGTGCTGTTCTAGAGCCCGTGGTGTCACTGAGGTGGAGCTGTCGACAATAACAGAGCCAGCATCCACTGAGCACTCCTGTCCCGACTCTTTACAAGGATCTTTACATCATTCACTCTTCATCCTCACAAGACCTCTATCAAGTAGGTACCATTTGTCATAATCTGGTTACACTGTTGAGGAAACAGAAGCCCAGGGGTTTGGTCACGCGCCCCAGATCACATAGTTGTAAGCGGTGGGGCCAGGATTTGCCCTCAAGTCTGACTCCAGCCCATTCTCTAGGCCTCTGTGCTCCACGGCCTCCTTCACTTGGATGGACTGTGACCAAGAGCTATGTCCATAGTTGAGACCAAGCCAAGGTCACCGGGTCTAGGTCAGTGGTGTCCTGGAGCTGGCTCTTCGGTGGCTTCAGAGAGCCAGCTGGGCACATCTATCTTTCCAAATTCTCATGTAGTGACATCAGGACGGTAGCCCGAAATGGGCCATAGTGGGAGTATTTACATCACAGAAATTGGCAAGTGCTATCAGGGCTTGTTTTCCTCCCCGAAGACCACTGGGCTGGCTGCAGCAGCAAATGCCAGCCCCCGGATGAGCTGTGGATGCATTAAGCAGCACGTACAAAGGAACATGCTAAATCTGGACACCTCTGAGCTACGTCCAGGGTTGCCAGGTTGTTCCGGGAAGGTGCTTCTAGCCCCAGGACCAAGCTGGAGCGGCAGAAAAGCCCAACTTGGTGCCCAGTCCTGGCCCTGCTGTGGACTAATCACAGGAGTTTAGGCAGATAACTTAATCTCTCATGGGTAGAATGGAGACAAACCAGCACTGACTTCACTGTGCCTTCATGAGGATTAGGTGTTATAGAGGTGTCGGCGCTTGGTAAGCTGTGCCAGTCAAGAAGTGTTTGGTCCTTTTCTAACTTGCCTAGACTCAGCATTTTCCATCCCCTGCAGATCTGCATAAGCCCCTCCCCACCCCCTCCAGCCACTCTGGTCCCAAGGCGGGGGCAGGCCGCCCCCACTTCACAGAGCAGTGCTACTCCTCTTCTCCCCTGCTTACCGCCAACACACATCAGCTCTCACGTCCTTTGGACCCTTAACATCACTCCTGATAACAGAAGACCCCTGCCAGGATGGGGCCTCTGGTGAGCACAGTGGAAGCTGCTACAAGGCTGGGCCACACAGCTGCCTCAGGGGTGGACAACTGTTACTCTCTCACACTCCTTGCCCTACTGTGTGGCGGGTTACAAGAGAAAAAAGGTCCAGCTTCCTACTTATTTTGGAATAAGTTAAAATAAATTAAAAGAACAACCAACATTACTCAAGTAAGCTTGTAAGTGGAAGGGCCCAAATGCCCCCTGGGGTAACAAGTCTCACCTGCCCAGCCAGGGCCCCTCCTCGAATTAGAATGGCCTCAGACACTGAGACACAGTGGAATGGTTCTTGCACTCAAAACATCCCTGTCTTCTTTCTGGGAACCCGAAGGAAAGTCAGATTCAATTAAGGACAAGAAGAACACCATGGCCTTCAAAATAAGAGTTATTTATTACAAAAGTAAATGGCCTCTGATTATCTGTGGAAACTTTTTTTTATATATATAAAATTGTGGCCCAAAAAGCTGGCTGGAGGTTGGGCTAACAAACATCTTCTTCCTCCACCAGCAAGTTTGTGGGGCATGTCACATTTCCGCCAATTCCTGGGCACTGGAGCCCACCTTCAGAGCCCCACCTTGATCGCCCCTCTCCCCAGTGTCTTCCACTGACTAAACCTGAGCACTGGAAGCTTCATCAACCCATATGGCCTTGTCCTCAGAGAAGTGTCTGCCAGTCTGGGCTAAGAGGAAGAGGAGGGAGTGAGCCAACAATTCTTCTCTCATCCTTGGAATGCAGTATAAGAGACAGAGGAACCCTTTGTCCCCAGTGTGGCCAAATTAGGAGGGAGCCATGGGCGGGAAGCTGGCTGGGCTTTCTCCTTCCTCACCCTCACTCAGAGTGGCTGCCTCTCTGCTCCTTGGGAGTTCCTCCCTTCCAACAAGTCCCTAGTAGGAAATAAGAAGGTGCAAGGGGACATCAGTCACCTCCCAGTTGTTACGGGGCCATGGTTCTTGGCTGAGGGGCAAGCACAGACTCTTCATTCTCCCTCCAGAAGAACCCACCCAGATGGCTACCCCCAACCAGCTTAGAAGAAACCAACTCCACCTCTGGGGAGGACAGACAGTGGTGCAGTAGAAGGGGTGAGCAGAGGTTCTCCATCCCTGCTCATTCCCTTCCAGAAACGCAATTAAGCCCACAGCCCAGACTCAGCACACAGGCAGCACTTCCTGCCAGGGGAAGTCAAAAGGGGTTGCAGCCCTGGGAGAGGGAGGTCATCACACCCCAGATCTAATTAACAAACCTGCCTTGCTTTTGACATTGCTGCATTTCCTCTATTAACATTAATGATGGCTGGTCTGAACGGCTAAGGATGGCCAGAAGCTTCCCTCCCCACTGCCCAGTAGGTAGCACAGCCTGTCCATGGGCCCAATTTCCAGTCTCCGTGGCAACCGCCTCCCGAAGATGCTCCAAAGAGCTCTGACCCTGTCAGAAGTGGTGGGGGCTACAGAGGAGGGAAGATGAAGTGTGGCAGAGCCTCATCATTAAACCTGGAAGCATCACAGTCCTCTGAGACAAAATACTCTGTCATGCACTGGCAGGAGGGAGGTGGCCTGAAGAGCAGGTCCGGGGTTGGTTCGGTTCTGACTCAAGGGTTTTCTTAATCTCTTCCATTTGGGGAGGAAGTGAAAGGAATAGCTCTGAGCTTCTTGCTTGGGCTTTAAAGTGGTAGAGAGTAGAAGCTTTGCTGCATTTCTAAGTGCTCTGGGTCTTTGGGAGAAAGAGATCGGTGGAACAGTGACACAGAGAAAGGGAAATGAAATGCATCCAGGGCAGCAGGGAAGACTAGAGAAGTAAAAGTGGGGAACACCTCATGAGTGACAGGAACATCAACCCAGACGGGCTGGACCAGCCCACTGGGACCCCCGCCCAGCACCACAGATCCCTGCCCTGCTGCCCACCAGCCTTGGCTGCTAAGGGGCCCCAAAGGTTCCCCCAACCATGGGGAGAATGCATCTGCCCCACCTCATAGCCAGGCTGGATGCAGACGGAAAAGGACAGTCAGCAAGAAACCACCTCTGGCACACAGGGCCTGGGAACACAGAGCAGCCAAGGATAGGACGCCATTCCTCCCACCAGTCATCATATGGTGTTCTCAGGGAGCAAGGAACCAAGGGCTGGTGAGTGCTCGGCTGCCTCACTCCAGAGCCCAGTCCTCTGTGCACACTGCAGGGAGTGCAGCCACCTCCTGCCCCAGAGACTTCCCAGCAGCTGCACCCCGCCCCCCCGCCCCGCCACCACCACACCGGGAAGCAGCTGGGAGGCCCTCCAACTCAGGGGCGCTCAGCTCTATTTGTTTGTGGGGAGGAGGCCGGCACAGCTTTGATGGCCCCATCTGCTCAGCCCTTGGTGATATCCCAACGTGGGGCCAGTGAGCTCAGCCTTCTTGGAGGTCAGAGAATTTTTGATGGCTCTTGCTTTCAAGCCAAATCCAGTGTGAAAGAAATACCAGAAAATACTACTATAGCCCTGGACTATTTCTTACGGTTTATGAGACTCAGCTGTCCACAGTCACGGTCTATATTCAACAGGTGTATGGACCAATGAACCCTCCCACTCCCACACACTCACGCCCACTCTCTCACACACTCATCCTTCCTTATGTTGCACACTTGGGGAAACGGGCCTGAGAGATGTCCTCTTGCTGAGCCATTCCCAGAGGTGGGATCTCTGCAGACAGTGCTGCAGCTCTCCCTAGTGTTGGGCTAAATTCCAGGTATGCTCCCAGAGCTTGGTCCTGGCAGGCAGCAGAATTCCTCGGGCTCCTCGGGCAGCTTTGCCCACAGCTGGGAGGGTCCAGGGACTGGCTGCACAGCTGGCTGTCCCCAGAAAGTTCCTGGATTCAGGCTGGAGTAGCAGTAGCCTCAAAAGTCCCATGATTCAAGCCACCTTAGTCCTGCCATGGGACTTCGTGGGTCCTGGGCTAGGGGACCGACCATCCCATAAGCCAGAGGGTGGAAGAGGTAGAAGCTATGAGAGAGAATCCAGAGGGAGGTGGTCAGCACCCAGCGCCTTGGCAGGGGCAAGGAGCCCCATGGATCTTTGAAGTTTAGCAGCCCCTACTGGAGCTTATCAGCTCTTCTCCACCTACAAGACCCACTCCTCGTCACAATGTCTGTGTTCACCGTGTGGGCACACTGTAGTCCGAGAGCTTAGCAGATGCTGGTTTAATGAGAAAGAAGGAAAGGGCTCCTCCCAGGAGGCCCGGGAGAGAGACCAGTCCCGGGGTCTGGCCGTGGCTGTTTGGCTCATAGTATTTGTTAAAACGTGCCTGTGCCCTCAGATCACAGGCCCACCATTTCCTGTTCACACTTTAATGCTGCCTCCCTGGCCCCTAAAGGCCAGTGACTCTCAATAGGGGATCTGTGAGACTGGCAAGGGGCAGGGGGTTGGTGAGGCTTGCCAAACAACACCATCCTTCCAGTTATTCTGAGCCACACCCGACACCCTCTCCCTCACCCCACCCCCTCCAGGGCGGTCCAGTGAGGGGGCCAAGGTGACTAAAGAGAGGCAGCCGGTGTGCTGGGGTGATACAAAAGCTGGGACCTACTGGCAAAAAAAAAAAAAAGAATGCACAGTTAGCCCCAGGTTTCTCCTATCTGGCTCCACATTGGGGTCACCTGGGGAGCTCGGAAAACTGGCTCAATTGAATCGGAGCCTCTGGGGACGGGGCCCAGGCATGCTTTAAAAGCACCCCAGGGGATTCTAAGATGCATCAAAGGCAGAGGCAGGGACCAGCAATGCAAGGGGTAGGGGCTACTCACCTATAGGCAGTTCCCAAGAGCAGGCTCAGGAGTCCCACCGCATATATGCCCCTGGCCAGGGAAGAGGAGGCCAGACTCCAGGCACAGAGCCGCAGGAGAGTATCCCACAGAATCCCTAGGAGAAAGAAGAAAGACAGACCTAGTCTGTCAGAGGATGACTTTCCGGGATGCAGCAGAGAGGAGCTACCCAGGTCAGGAAGCAGTTAGATTCCCCCTCGGTGCTAATCCCCCGCCCTTCTCACCCAAGTCCAGGTAGGCGGTGCTGACCTGTCAACATGCTGGAGAAGAGCATGGCTGGGAAGTAGTGGTGGAAGTAGAGGATCCGGCCCATCAGGAAGAATGGGAAGTAATGGAGCATCCAGCCGAGCAGGAGCTGACCGCCTCCTTGCAGCAGGACCTGGGACAGCCCTGGGCCCCAAGCAGCACAGCTTGGTCAGCAGCCAGGGAGGGGGCAGAGACCCCTGGCTCTCGTCCAGCTCTGCCACTTCCTTGCTGGGTGACTAGACTAAGCCATATGCCTTTACTGGGTCTGCCTCCCTCATCTGGAGGCCACTAAGCAAGGGGCTAAGCAAGCCTCCGGCAGCTGGACAAGATGAGCAGCTGGCCCTCGAGAGCCTTGCTCACCGGCTGTTTGGAGAGGCCTCAGCACCCACGCAGCAGGAGGCAGCCCAGCCTCTAAAGAAACCAAGATGCGGCACGCCCCCAGACAGCTGCCCCCACCCCACGGCCATCTCCCGTATCTTTGCTGCCGCCCAGATCTTTGCAGTGGCAGACAGGGCAGAGGTGAAGTCAGAGATGAGGATGGAGGGGAGAGAGGGGGTCTAGGGCCATGGCTGTTCACAAGGGAGCTGCACAGGGAAAAAAGAGCCTGCAGGACCATCTCAGGGGCTGTGGTCCCTACCCCGCTAGAGGACAGGGCCATGGAACAGAGAGCGACAGAGGAGAAAAGGTGGGCAGTTCTATACAGAGCATAGAGGTTCAAGTGAGGCTCTAAAGTCAGACCACTTGGGTCTGAAACTCAGCTCTACACTTACTAGTATATGTCCTGGGATAAGTCTCTTCTCTTTGTGCCTTTGCTTCCTAAGCCATAAAATGGGGCTAAGAACGTTCTACTCTACAGGGCTGCTGGGAGCATGGAGTGTTTAACACAGTACTGGGCATTTGGTGACTGAGCTTTAAAAAGCAAAGGAGAAGGGAAAGAGTGGGGTGAAGGCAGAACCGCCCATCAGCAGTGCAGGCTCTGGCCAGCTGCTAGGTCAGGGGAGGGAGAGCCCAAGGGACCAACCTTCAACCTCTGCAGGCAGGCATGCCCCTCTCTGCATGGCTACAGCAATGATGCTCCCCAAGAGGAGGTAGAGGGCAATGCTCAACAGATTCAGCCACCAAACCACCTGCATGGGAAGGAGAATGGGCGGGTTAGAGGAGAGCCACAAGCCCCCAAGGATCCAGGCTGAGGGCCCACACAGGAAATGTGCTAGGCACTTACCGGGTTGCCGAGCAGATACACACGGAAGTCTGTGTCATTGATCCCTGAGAAGCGCAGGCCCTGCGGGGCAGAGGACACCCTGCTGATCCAGGGCCCAGTGCATCCCAGCCACATGTGCTCCGGCAGGGAGGAAGACCAGTTACCTTCCACAGACAGGGAGCCTGGGCAGGAGGCCGATTCTACGTGAGCTCTCTGGGAAGGCCGGGTCAGAATCAGGACAGAAAACAGAGCCCTGTCTCTGGCCACCTCATGTCAGGTAAGGCCTTGCCCAGTCACCCCACCCTACCCTCACCAAGTCTCAATGGTCTCTTCTTTGGCTCCATTTCCTGGGAGCAGCTCTAGCCTTGAGCCCTACCTGATAGTTGATAGGCCAGTGCCAGGGTTTGGATGTGAACTCATTGTCCTTAGGTTTGAGTCCATTGTTCCCCTGCAGGAAAAAGGCAAAAAAGAAGCTAGTCAAGGCAGAGATCTAGAGAGCTGACAGAAATGTGAGGAATGGGCATCTCTGACAGCCAACTCTCAAGAGAAACCTCCCCTGTCTCCCTCCGTTGTGGGGAAGAATCTGGTGCTTGTTCTCAGTCACTGTCCACCTGCTTATGACTGCCTTACTTCTACCAACACACAAGCTTCCATTGCCACCAGAGACAGTCCATTCAGACCCACTATGCTTGAGAGAAAAAAGGACTTGTTTCCTGTGAGGACAAAACATCCATCCATCTTCCAGACCAAGTAGGAGGTGTCAAGAGGGCTAGTGGGAGATACAAAATCAGGCTGGCTTACTTGTTCCCTCTGGGGGCCAATTTCAAACACAAAACCAAAACCAAATACTCTGATGAGTTCCTGAACTTGGAAAAAGTGACTGTAGTCTAGTGTTTCTCAACTTTTTTTTTTTCATTCTTGCCCCTCCTGGGACTTTTTAGACATTTTTTTCCTAAATGCCTCCCATCACATTTTAATACCACAGCGGTACTGTAAATGTGTTTACATATTGGTTGACTACCTACGTTAAAAAGTTAAGGGTTTTTTGCCCTCCAAGAATACATTTTATCCACTGGGAGTGATATTAACCCTGTTCAGAGTGCACACTTTAGCCTGAAGGACCCAGACTCAGCCCCTTTAATCCAGCAGCCAAGACTGTCCAACACCCTGTCTCTACACGCCAAAATCAGGGCTTTTTAAAAACAAAGAAAAGATCAGGACCCCTGATACTAAGCACCAGGACTGATGTCAGCCTCATTATCAGAACAAATTGAGAAGGCACTTCCCGAGAAGAGGAGTGAGGTGTTATGAGTTAAGTCAGGATCTCTCCACTGAAGGGCCTCAGAATGAAGAATGAATCATCCTGGGCCCCAGAGGAGCTGCTAAGAGAAATTGATTCCTCCAAACCATTGCAGTTCAGTCCCAGACTCGGGGACTCCAGCCAGAGCTATAACCAACCAGGGGCATCCTATTCACTTTGTTAATCTCAGAAATACAGCTCCTCTACTAATCCAAGAAATGGAAGGAAGGAAAAGTCTGTAACCATTACAGGCCTATGCATTTATACATCGTTCTCTATGCTTAAAATCTAGAGTGGGCTCATTCCCTCTGACCTCAGCAGGCAAGGCAGCCTTCTCTGTACAGGACTCAGACCCTCCACTCAGTGGGCAGAAAAGCCCTCTCCCATGCAGTTTCTGTTGTCTGGACTATTTTGACCACTCTCCCCACGCTGACTCTATTTCGGCTGAATAAGAACGTTCCCTGATGCCCTTTTATTCTTTGGCTCTACGTCTTAGATAATGAAAGAAGAAACAAGACTATTTAGACTTAGTCTTAAAATTCTACCCAGACATAGAATGATATTTTGACTGACAGGCACGTATTCAAAAGAGCTATGTCATCAGGCCACAGTGACAGCTACAAGCAGGGAGTCAGAGAAGAAGTGACCCGGAGATCACTTAATGTCAAGTCATGAACCCCCAATGTGCAGAAATGACAAAATTTGAATTTTTTGATCTAATCTGGTGAAATAAGTCAACTATATTTACTGAGTACTGCTTACATAATCACTTCCAGGAAAGTCCACTTGACAACGGCTCAGCAGGGGACAAATAACAGGCACTACACCTCTCTGCACCCCTGTGGGTGGAGTGATCATCACATACCTGGCTGAACATACAGTGATTCCTAAACACCTTTCCCGCAGGACGCTGGCTTTCCATAAACCAGAGGAAAGGCGTCCCCCCTACACATCAACACTGCAGCAGGCTTCCTCTACAGCACAGGGGAGAAGTTAAGCTAGTGGGTAGAACTTTCTCAATTTAAAGATCTCCTCTCTCAATTGTTCTTACACCACTGAGGTTAGGACTGCTGTCAGATACTAATGATGGGGAATACCAACAATGAGTCTTACAAAACCTGCAAAGACTCAACCACGCCCCTAAACAGTTCCCGTGTCTGGGAACGTGCATGGGCTCATGGTGGGAATTTTATGCTGCAGATAAACAACATGCTCAGATCAGCTATTCATCCTAATTCATTCTAATTTCATATGATGGAATGAGCTATTACTGTCTCAAGGTCTTCAACCAAGAACACCATAGTTTTCAGGGGCTCTGCCATTTGAACGGATCTGACAATCACTTAGAAGCAGAAGAGTATGGCGGTAGCCAGCACTGACTCTGAGAGTCTGCCAGCCCGGCTTTGAAGCCTGGAGCCACCTCTTCCATTTCGTTCTGTGACCCTGGGCAAGTTAACGTCTCTGTGCCTCGATTCCCTCATCTGTAAAGTGGGGACAATAATCCCCGCAGGACTGTGATAACTACAGAATAAGTTAGTGCAGCACCATGCACAGAGTGGCGCCTGGAACGTGAGAGCTACGTAAGTGTGCACTGGGGTCTGTTGTCCTCACCATCATCATCATCATCACCGTCATCATTCTGCGATAAGGGAAATGCCTTCGAATACCAAGTAAACCAGAAGCGAAGACCCTTTCAACATCCTCCACCAGGGGACAGTGGATCTATACCATAGCTACTGATCTGTGATGCAAGTTTGTGGATGGCCAAGAGCTCATAGAGAAGCCTTCCAATGAGAGGGGGCCACAGTACCCGGATCATCACCATGTGGGACTCCAGCAAGATCTCAGGAAAAGTGGGCTGCAGCACGTCCAGGCTGATGTTTGGCACTAGACAAAGAAAGGACAGAGAAGAAAACCTTGGTCACATGCACATTCTCACAGCCGTCCATGGTGCCAACACCGTGCCTGGAATCTGAGTGTAGCTTTCCTGACGCGCTGGCTAACGAGTAGGTTAGAGTGTTGAGGAGACAGAAGAAAGCTTGGCCCAATTCTTGATCACCCCTTTAGGTTGTGCAAAGCCCTCATGAGGCGTTTGGAGAAATACAAAGGCAACAGGCGACGGGGCCTGTCCCCAGTGTTGCCACTGCTCTCGGCACCATCACCCTTCGTTATGGTACAGGCTCGAATACTAGGCTGGTCTGTGAGGACAGGGACCAAGTCCACCTCATTCACCCCAGGGGCCCCCAGGCTTCCCACTGTACTCACTAAAGAGTTGTTTAATTAGTTAATTAATTAGCTGGTTGGCTAAATTAGGTAGTAAGAAGAATGAAATGGGAAACACAGAGAGGGGAAATGAAGCAGAAGCTTAAAAGGGGTGGTTGAGGACAAATGATGGATCCAAAGACCGACTGAGTTGAAGATGACACTGATGTAGAAACAACAAATTGGAGCCTGGGAGTACAAATATGGGGGCTCAGATCCAGGGCTGTGGCCACCGCTTTCTATAAAAGTATTGGCTGGCTGTGGGGAGGGGCAGAGCTCTACACAGGGGCATAAAGGGAAAGCACCAGCCTGCTCTAAGCCTTGAGGGTGGGAGGTACACATGGTGCAGGAGACAGAAAAGCCCAGAAGGAGACCAGACAGGTGGACCCACATTACAGGCAGCAAGGAGAAGCGTCAGCTCCAGCAAGAAGCAAAGAAAATGGGACGAGGAAACTAGCTCTGGCCCACCGCAAGGTCACTGGTCACTTTAGAGAGAGTTTGAGGATGGGAAGTTGACATGGTTGGGAAGAAAAAGGAGCTACCTGTCGAGACAACTCGTATGAAGAGACTAGGTTCAAAAAAGGCAGGAAATGACAACAAGGAGATACAGTGGCAGCAGAATCTATGAAGGTTGATTTTTCTAAGATAAGAGTTACTTATAAATGTTTCCAGGAAGTAATCTCACTCACATTTGGGATTGATATGGTCCTCCACATTCCAGATAGAGTTGAGGGTTTCCTTTAGGTATGGGGTGCAAGTAACTTCCAACTGTTCCCAGCCCCTGTGAAAAGCAGTCACAGAGGTCTCTCAGAAGACGTGAAACTCACCAGAGAGTTGCACTGTCGAATCTTTAAATTTATAGAACCCTGCTCTTTTCAACCCAGTGGCCATGCTTTTTTCAACCTCACTCTTTTATATCCCATGACTATCCTAGGAGGAGTCCAGCATAGAGTATTCCACTTCAGAAAGGCCCAGAGCATTTACAAGGTCCAAGACAGATGAACAACTATTCTGTTCAATTCTCAGAACACATAAAATACCAAAAGAACTCTGGAGTTCTGTGCTCTGTAACACACGTGATGCCTTTTCTCCTTCCATCTACCACCAAAATAAGAAAACACAAGGTGAACATTGACAACTGGGAAATAGAAACTTCTGGTATACTCCTTGTAGTGTGAAAGGAGAAGCATGAGCCTCAATTGGGATATCAAAACCCCAGAGACTCACCACTTGGGCAAGACCTTTCCCGAGGAGCCCAGGACACAACCTGTGACCAGATGGATGAGGCGAATGCGACTTCTCAGCACTTTGATCCGGTTTCCAAATTTTCTGTTTACAACCTCAATCCGCCAGAAATCATTTGAGTCTCCTGTCCCATTCTGCCATGTAAATCAAGGAAAAAATACAAAGAAAGTAAGATGACTTTAGAGAAGACGTGTCAGGAAAGGGAGAGATGGCCACCCTTCCGATGCCACCATGTTACAAAGGTCAAAGACAAAACAGGCCTCAGTGGATGAGGTGGGAAGGGGAACGAGGGGGCCAGAGAAACACCCCAAGTGATGGACATTCCCCCAGCGCTCGCTACCACAACTAAGAAAAAGGGGTGTAACTCCTGCAGCCTGCAGTCCAATTCTTCACTTCACAGAACTAGAGCTTAAATTCTAAACATATGTCTTTGCTCTTAAACCAAACTCAAGACATCAACCTGAACCAACAGAAATAGATTTGGGCCATTTGTACCCATTACTTGGCCATCTGGACACTCACTCATCTAAGCCAGAAAGATTTGGCCTGCAGATTATATTTTGGAAATTAAGATACTTGTGTCTAATTCTCCTCAGGAGATGCGCACAAGAAAAAGACAAGCAATGGCTCTAGTACTGTGGGATGAGCAAACAGAAGGAGGGTTGGGAAGTCCACCCTAAGGAACCCAGGATCTGTACTGATGCACCAAAGCCCCTGCAAGGGAACATAAGATAGTCCTAAGTCTAGCTGCCCTCTGTAGTTGTTTTGTTTCCAAATCACTCCCCAAGCCATAAGTACCCATAGAGCTGCTTCTTCTATTAAGTGCATCACCCACACTACTAAAAAATCCAAAAGCAATGCGGTTAACATCCCCCTGCAGAACAGGGAAGTAATCCTTAAAAATAAAGCCAATGAGGATTTCGGATCTGGCAAAGAATAAATGTATATATTCACCTAGGATCATAGTGTGGGTCCATGGCTTCTATGTCCAATGTGATTTAAAAAGGGACCCAAATAGTATTCATATGTGACATTTATTGTCAGAACATAAAAATGGCACGGTTATTATGGGAGAAGAGAGAATGGAGACAAACAGACTCACAGGTTGCTTTTCCCACAGCAAGCCTAGCCAAAAAGTTCCCAGGGTTATTAGAGTCCCTGTGTAGCCCGTCATCCTTAGGAACATTCCAGAATTCCAGGGAGGATGTGTTCTGTCACATGGCCCTGAACCAGGCCCCACAATTTTTTACAGCCTGCTCACACTCCAGTTGCTCACTTACTATGCCATAGCCAGTGACCTGATAGTGCTTCCGGGTCAGGGGGGCCTCATGATAGTGACTGTGCAGGTTCCGAGAAGTCCTAGAAGTTAAGCGAGAGAAACGCCATTATCCTGGAGAAAAGAGACATGAAAACGTCTCCTCTTTTACTAAGGATATTCAGAGTCATCTGTTAGTGCAAAAAAAAATTAGAATCTGAACTATGAAATCCAACATATCAGGAACGTCTTGCCTATTTACTCACAAGAAACATCCAGAGAATCAGAGAATTGTCCAAACCAGCAGGGACAGATGGTAGGAGTCCGGGACTCCATGCCAAGAAAGGGGTTAACTTCAGCAGTGAGGGGATGACTTACCACATTTGGTGGCTTTGAAGCACTTAGCTTGCCTGACTCATGAGGCAGCTTTGAGGAGAAGAAATTAAAATTTGTAATCTACGCATGCCTGAGCCAGTAAGCCTCCTCCCTCCCATTTACTCTTCCTGCCCTCATCACCAGTTTTATAATGTGGGAATCTGTGGGGGAAGGGAGGGATTAATTTGGCTTTTATTTACTTTGTGCCTTTTATAATAATTCTTACTTTTATCCACAATAAGAAATAAGTGTTCTTTTTTTTTTTTTTAAAGATTTTTTTATTCATTTATTTGAGGGAGAGAGAATGAGAGATAAAGAGCACAAGAGGGAAGAAGGTCAGAGGGAGAAGCAGACTCCCTGCCGAGCAGGGAGCCCGATGCGGGACTCGATCCCGGGACTCCAGGATCATGACCTGAGCCGAAGGCAGTCGCTTAACCAACTGAGCCACCCAGGCGCCCAGAAATAAGTGTTCTTTATAAAAATTCTAGAAATTTCCAAAAATAAAACTTAACAATAATAAATAATTTTTAATTTGTCAATAAAACAAAATGAAATTTATTAAATAAGTAGTAAATAATAAAAATTAAAAAGTATCCATGATTATACTAGGAAAAAAACACTGCTTATAGCTTTTCTCTCTCTCTCTCTCTCTCTCTATATATATATATATATAGTCCCTGATTTTTAAAAAACTCCATACCTGATGATTCCACTATACAAAATCTTTGCAGAGCTGCTTCTGCTATCATTCCTGTTCCCTTGCACATGGTGCCCTATTTCCTTGTGTGCTTAGTTATTTTTTACTATGTACTATTCACTGTCACTGAAAAACTATTTATGGGAATGGATGGCAATCTCTTTCCCAAAAAAGGATTTACATCTGCTTTTAGCCAGGCACTTAGGAAATATTACCAGTCTAGGATTATGTTCATTTAAATTCATGGCCTAAAGATTTTGAGACCATCCAGATGAAATTAATTTGGGTCACAAATCCATGTGAGGATCAACTGGTAGTTACAACTTTTCAGGAACCAGAAATAGCCCCCTCCTCACCCCCACTCCCCCTTCTCAAGCCCTTTGGGGTTTCAAGTTTGGGGGAAGGATCACTTAATAAATTTACCACTTTGGATGAGCCTAGAGCTTTGAATTTACAACTCTTTCTCTCAAGGGGCAGTCAAAACCAAAGATCGAAACTCAAGATTGTGGGATCAAGGCAGAAGTGGCTGCAGCATCCCACTTATTTCTCTGGATTCCCCCCACCCCCCATTTTACTTAGATTTTTGGCCTGGTAACTCACTACTGCCTTGTCAGCTCTCTGATGCCTTAAGATGTTTTCATATTATTCCAGCATTTGTAGTCATTTTCAGTGAGAACATTGCTTAAATAAACCAGCTTGCCATATTCTCAGAAAGAGACTTCTATATCTTCCTAAAGGCAGCCACTTGAGAAGAAGCGTTGGGTAACTCAAAGATTTTTTTTTCCTCTGGAAAAAAGGGAAATTGAACAGTACCTTCAAAGTTCAAAGCTCCCCAAAGCCAAAACAGGCAAACAAAAGTGGCTTGCTTATTTCACAAGACTTCATAAAATGGCTTTCCCATTCTAGCACAGCAGTCTTGCTCCATTTACTAGAGCCGCATCCAAATCTGAGTTCTGTTTATTTCCAGTTTAGAAGAACTCCTTACCTTTGGTGCCCATACCACTCACTTATCCCAGACAGCAAATTTACTTACTCTTTGTGTTCTAGCCGAATGATGTCTCCATGTCTTACAAACTCTACTGGGAATGAAGGGTCCAGGGGATCTGCCAAGAAGAAACAAGCATTGATATCTGAAATCATTCACTCATTAGGTTGGTATGAATTGAGGGCCTACAGGTAAAGAGTTACAGTATAATACGGTAGGTGCTAGAGGTACAGACAGAGTGCTGGGAGGACAAAGAGAAAGGGCCCCTCACTGTCTCAAGGAAGGGTGTCTCAGAGATATGCTTGAAAAGACCCTTTAAGGAGGGGAGAATTTTGTCAGGTCAACAAGTGGGGCCAGATGTATGAAAGAACAAAATGCATTTGACCGATAGCAAATGGTTTCATATCAGAGGGTAGGGTGTGGTGGGGAGGGGAACGGGAAAGACTGTGGGAATAGATGAGGGTATGAACAAGTAGGGCCACACGGTGCATGCCAGGCTAGGAAATGTGGTCTTTATCTGACAGGCCCTGAAGCCTCCACAGAAGGGTTTTTAAGCTGGGAAGTCAAATAATAAGATTTTCCTTTCAGTAGTAAAAACATAGTCTTCCAAAAACTAATTCCATGTAAATGACCATATGCGCTCTCCTCAGAGTCCAGTGTTAAACCCTGCAAGTTTTGTCAGTCATTATCTTGTCTCTGGCAACAAACTTGCTAAGTGTGAGGCGAAGAAAATGATGAAGTGACAAAAGAAAGGGACCACAGCGTCTAGAAACCAAGTCAGATCAGATCTAGCAAGGCAATGACAATGGAAAAGGAGCTGGCAGTAATCACCAACACAAAAAGATCCTTGCAAACTTCTTCCCAGTGAGACACTAACACTCAAGGTCAGGAAAGAGAAATGTGTCAGAACAAATTACTAGTTTTTAAGAGAATTAGAGAACTCAAGTGTAGACATGCCCATTCCTATGTGGACCTTAAGGTCTCCAAAAAAGATTAATCAGCAAAGGTGACAAATCAAGTAAGTCGATGGGAGGGAAGTTTCATTTTACATGGATGTGACGGGGAGGGGCGTTTTCAGTCATCAAGAACACAAAGACCTAAAAAAATAAAATCACAAATGAGAGAGGAAAAGTAACAACCAACACCACAGAAATACAATCAATCATAAGAGAATATTATGAAAAACTATATGCCAACAAATTGGACAACCTAGAAGAAATTAATAAATTCCTAGAAACATACAAACAAAGACCTTGGTCTGTATGGCTCCCACTTCCCGAAGTGTTTATAGCTCTCCGCCTTCACACAGAGCCTTAGTTCCTTGGGTGAAATGCAACCACCTTAAGCTAGAAGCCACATCGAATAACGGATCAGAGATGTTCAAAGATTTGGTCCATGCCCACATAACCTTAGAAGTAAAGCAGTGTTAGGACGCCTGGGTGGCTCAGTCGGTTAAGTGTCTGCCTTCGGCTCAGGTCATGATCCCAGGGTCCTGGGATCCAGTCCTGCATCGGGCTCCCTGCTCAGCAGGGAGACTGCTTCTCCCTCTGCCTGCTCTGCCTGCCGCTCCCCCTGCTTGTGCTGACAAATAAATAAAATCATTAAAAAAAAATTTTTTTTTAATTAAAAAGAAAAGGAAGTAAAGCAGTCTTGCCTCATAACCCCTCATTGTGATAGGTCACTTATGTTTGTCCTATTGGATGAAAACAATCAATACCGGTATTATAAAGGTGTTGAAACAGACTCTGACAAACGGAGTCCTAACGTATATTACTGAGGCAAAGACAGTCATTGTGTACACCACATTTCTAGTCTCAAGACCGCAACAATAAGAGGTGGGGAAAGGAACAAAGAAGGTGAATTTAGGTGAACAGCCACCCACTGCCACACAAAAGCTCAGGAGCAGCTGACTCAAGAAATGCGGAGAGCCAGGTGGGGTTTACTGAGGAGTCATAGAGAATGCCTGTGACATAGGGCAATCAGCAGGGGCTCAGAGGTGAGCATAAGATACCCTCTGTTCTCTTCTCAGCTAGAGCAGAAGGCACAGCCTGCAGGTAGCCAGCTCCCTGACCAAATAAAGATCTGGATATAGCCCATGTCATAAAGCCCCGAGAGCCCATCAGGTGTGCTTCAGAGCAGCTTTGCCCAGGCCAGTCAGGGGGGCTGGCCAGCAGCTATTGAGTGAGGGCCCAAGCATCAGGCTAGACAAGCCCAGCTACAGGCTTTGAGATCTACAACTGACTTGTCTAGTCCAGGGATGACCAGTGGGCAGCAATACTCTATCATAGCAAGACAACTTGAGCTGCACCATATGCTGGGGTCTGAAAGGCTTAGTGTGCTCTCATTAGAAATGAGAGTAGTCACCATGTGCCCTCAGTTGGGGCTACTCAACCAGCCCGTGGCAGCATGTCCAGGTAACCAGTCTGAATTAAGTCTGAGCCCTGGCCGGGCCCTCTGGCTTCAACATGATAGCTATTAAGAGTGAGATCTTATCTGTCTTGCTCACTGCTTACCTCCTATGTTGACAACAGCGCTTGGAACATAGTAGGTGCTCAATAAATAGCTGTCGAAAGAATAACTGAGACCAGTAAAGGTATTGCCAAACCATGCTCAGGAATGCCCATCTCTGTACCATTTGAAGGCATGAGAAATGTTAAAAATGGCTCAGAGTAAGCAATAATGCAAGAAACATCAGTTCCCTACCACATTACCTGCGTTTGTGTTATGTTTCTTGATAATCCACAGGTTGTTGTAGTCCTTGTGCAGATAGGTGGTGACCTGGGTCGGGGAGGAGTTGGGAGGGAGAATACCATCAATATCAGCATAGCCACAGGACAATCAACAGCAAACCAACATTGCTTAAGCCTCTTTCAGAATCCTCAGCCACCAACCCGAGGGGCCATGCTGCCTAGGGGGGTTCAGAAGTAGCACTGGTGAGATTCTCTCCTTCCATCTGCATTTAGAGGTTTCTCCCACAAGAGCCTTTTTGATTGGTCTCATTTTATCTTTCTGCATCTTTTTTTTTAAAGATTTTATTTATTTATTTGACAGAGAGAGACACAGCGAGAGAGGGAACACAAGCAGGAGGAGTGGGAGAGGGAGAAGCAGGCTTCCCGCCGAGCAGGGAGCCCGATGCGGGGCTCGATCCCAGGACCCTGGGATCATGACCTGGGATCATGACCTGAGCCAAAGGCAGACACTTAACGACCGAGCCACCCAGGCGCCTCTCTTTCTGCATCTTATCTTTAAAGTTTTAGCCTCCTAGAGAAGAAACCATGATACCTTGCGTTAACATAGTCTCCAGCACACAAAGAGGATTTAGTGCATTTTTAAAAATTTTTATTTATTGGGGCGGCTGGGTGGCTTAGTCATTTAAGCGGCTGCCTTCGGCTCAGGTCGTGATCCCAGGGTCCTGGGATCGAGACCCACACTGGGCTCCCTGCTCCGTGGGAAGCCCGCTTCTCCCTCTCCCACTCCCCCTGCTTGTGTTCCCTCTCTCGCTGTGTCTCTCTCTCTCAAATAAATAAAAATCTTAAAAAAATTTTTTTTAATTAATTAATTAATTTAAGAGAGAGACAGAGAGCGCAAGCTGGGGGAGGGGCACAGGGAGAAGGAGAGGATGAATCCCAAGTAGGCTTTATGCCCAGTTGTGGAGCCTGATGTGGGGCTTGATCTCAGGACCCTGAGATCATGACCTGAGCCAAAATCAAGAATCAGACTCTTAACCAACTGAGCCACACAGGTGTCCCGATTTAGTGCATTTTACAAAGTAATTAAGACCATGCCTCAAATTTTCTAAATGAAAAATTCATGCCTTATTCTCTAGAATGTGGCCAAATGAAATTAAATAGCTCCATAAATATCTCTTCCTAGAAGCTTGAAGTTTTAGCCCATAGCCATTTCATAGACACTGATTTTTATTTTTTATTTTTTTTTAAGATTTTTATTTATTTATTCATGAGAGACAGAGAGAGAGAGAGAGGCAGAGGGAGAAGCAAGCTCCCGCTGAGCAGGGAGCCCGATGCGGGACTCGATCCCAGGACTCTGGGATCATGACCTGAGCCGAAGGTAGACGCTTAATCATCTGAGCCACCCAGGTGCCCTAGACACTGATTTTTAAAAAATTAAATGTGTGTGTGTGTATGCATGTGAACATGCATGTCATGCTGTGACGAATCTAATAGCAAAAATTTAGAAACAGAATAAATGTCCAATAATAAAGGAACAGCCCACATGATGATATGTCCACAAGACAGAATATTACCACAGCCACAGAAAATGTTTCTGATCATTTTTTACTAGCACAGGAAAAGGCTTATAAAATGCTGATGCTGAAAACGGCTGCCATTTATCACCAGGTACTGTTCTAAGCGCTGGGCAAGTCTCCTCTCTCTGCTGTAGGTACTATGGTTATCCCCACCTTACTTACAAGGAAACTAAGGTTGAGTAATTTGCTCCAAGTCACCACAGCCTATCAGTGGAGAGACAGGATTCAAACCAAGGCAGCTAACTCCAATGCTCCCAGAATAGAGACTATACACATACAATTATGCCAATTATATAAACAAGAACACAAATACCCGGAAACAATAGAAATATATACAAAGTGAGTTTTTATGACTCCAATTGGACAAAACATGACTGATTTACTTGCAAAGAGATTTGGAATCAACGTTTAGGGAAAAAATTATGTATGTATTATGGCTGCTTTGTTTCAGTGGCTTTTACTTTCTCAGAAAAAAGTCAAGAATGATGGTATTAAGAATATACAAGAAACTGGAACACCTGGGTGGCTCAGTCGGTTAAGTGTCAAACTCTTAATCTCAGCTCAGGTCTCAATCTCAGGGTCATGAGTTCAAGCCCCACACTGGAGCCCAGCTCCAAGCCTGGTGTGGAGCCTACGTTAAAAAAAAAAAAAAAAGAACATAATAGAAACTAAAACATTTTGGCAGCCATAGAGAAATTAAGTTCATACTCCTAAACAAAGGTATACAGAGTCCACTGGCTTAGATTTGCTTAAGGATCTTAAGATTTTGTGGTACTCGTGTGTGTGTACTCTGTGTATTTTTTAAACAAAACTTATTAGAAAAATTACTTCTTTATTATGAGTACAGTCCATGGCCTCTTTTTCCCATAGAAATATTTGTGTTTACAATGGATTTTTTTTTTACAACACAAGGTCTCCTAGAAACACCGGTATCCTCTAACAATAGAATGTTGTACACTGAACTATGTGGGTAAACACTGATCTTCTGGAATTACGTGTAGCTTTTGGTTTTTGGGTTTTTTTGTTTGCTGGGTTTTTTTACTTTTCTCTATTTCCCAATTTTATTTTATAAATGTTATACTTTAAAAATATTAAAAAATGGACACCTAGAGTTGTTGACAAGACGCTAAACTCCAGGGCAGTGAGGGCCACTAGAAGTGGTTTAGTCCAACCCCCCAGTTGGCAGATGAAGAAACTGGCTGAGAAAGGCTCAGTGTGATTCAGCCATGACAGAACCAGACTCTTCCATGCCTTGACCCCACATGCTCTCTCTACACCACTATCGTGACTTCACACCTTCATGCATGGGCTGCAAGTGTGTAACACCAGGACTAGCGTAAGAGGGTCCTTCTCTTCCTTTGCACAGTGTAAACACTCCTGGCCACCAGGTCTGTAACTTCACCTTCTGCAGGACAGCTGCCGCTCCCCACGGAAGGGCTAGCTGTGGTCTTCTGCCCTGGCTATCCACTAGACTTTTCTGGAGAATTTCGAAGCAAAGCAGAAAGGCACAATGCATGGGCCTCCTCCTGAATCAATGGAGCCAGGGCTGCTGTGTGGTACCCAGGGACTGGAATGTTTTAAAAGCTCTCCAGTGGGTCCTAAAGTGCTTGAGACAAGTGGAGAATCAAGAATGGGAAACTGATACTAAAACCCAACACTCTGGGTCAACTTTCTGGTGAACTAGTAAATAAGGAAATAATAATTACGAATTTTGAGAAGCAAAACTTTTTTGCCAAGTAAAAATACTGGTCATTCTGCCAGAAGAGAAACATCACTCCAAGCCTCTCAGCACAATAGCCTGCCCTGCAGCCTGCATGCCTCCCCTCTCCTCTCCTCCCTGTCACAGCAGCTGAGACCTGGGGCCTCACCACTCCTTAGAAGCAATCCCATTTAGCGATGAGGCCCCCTTTACTGTCGTTGAAAGGCCTCTTTCTTAAAGGCCCCCACCTTTTCTGAGGCTTTTGCAGCACCTGGACTGATGAGCACCATCCCCCTGGGGGTGCTGTCTGCCCTGCGCTCTCCTCCCACCTCCCTGTTCACACCCTCCTTCTCAGCGGCCTGGGAGCATCTTCACCACTGCCTAAGCGTTGCTGCCCCCCAGGGCTCCTTCACTGGCTCTCCTCCCTCTGTGCACCGTTCCTGGGCAATGCCACCCATCCCACTGTGTCACTGACACCCATATGCTACACACTCAGATCTCCTTCCTGAGACAAGCCCCAAACCTACAATACACAAAGGAAACTCTCTCATCTCCAGAGCTACTCTTCCTCCTCCATTTCTGACTATGGTGGAATAGCATTATCACACATACACCTTGACCTCCAACCTACAGACCTAGATATAGCTAGTCCCTGACAGCCACCAGTGGTGGGGCCCTGACACTGACCTGTGAAGTGTTTCCTGAATCAATTCCCACCTCTATTCGTGGTCTTTGCCTCTATTCACCATCCTCTGTCATGATTATTGCCTCCCAAGTCATTTCTTGACTCCAATCTGCCCCTCCTTTCAATTTATCACCCTCCTGCCGGAGTTTTCTTTCTAACCTAAAAATCTAATCACATCTTATCATGGCTTCATAAATCTCAACGCCTCACCAGTGCCCATAGAACGAAGTCAAATCTACTGTAACACGGAAAGCCTCTGCACAGCCTGGCTTCCCCAACCTCTCCAACATCCTGCTTCTCCCTCTCAGGCACTGTCCACCACAGCCACACCCGACACTCGTGGACACGAACACAGACACAGTGTCGCTCACTCATTCAGGTAATACTCATGGCTAATCCCCCAGGGTGCACGTCACATGTATCGCTTCATACTTTTAATCTGCAACTACCCTATGATGGAGAAGGGCACGATTTATTTTCCCTAATTTAAAGATGAAGATACTGAAGCAGCGAAAGGTCAAGTAACCTGTTCCAAGTCATACTCTGGTGGAACCAGGATTCAGACCCAGATAACATAGTCTGATTTCCAGGTCTGTGTTTACAGCCACAACACTTGACCGTCATCCATGTCAAGCCAAGCACGGTGCCGGGCACTTGAGCCTTCCAAGAGCTAGCAATCAAGTAGCAAAGAGACAGGAGGAAGGAAGCGCTCACAATTCCATGTGAAAAGGGTAACTGCACAGGCTTACAAAGCGTGCCAGGCAAGCCTCTCATGAGAGAGGCACCTACCCGGTACTGAGTAGAGGTGGGTCATGGTAATCAGAGGGAACACTTGCACTGAAGCCTAAATAAGCTGGAGTTACCCAGAGGAAAGAGAAGCAGGGTGCAGGGATAAGACTGATTCAAGCAGGGAAAACAGCGCAGGTAAAGGACGGGAGCAAGAAAGAGAAGAGCGGGTTCCGTCCCAGCCAACAGCTTGGTGTTGCTGCAGTACACAGTGCAAGAAGCTCGCTGACCTGCTGCTGGCGGGCGCCAATGCCTTCGGGGTAGAGGTGCCTGTGGGAGTGGAGATAGCCCATGGCCATCCGCACGTTCTTCACGGTGATCACGGAGCCATAGGCCAGATCTGGGAGGAAGGAACAGTGTAGGGTGTGAGTTGGCCCGTGACTAGGAGGGGCCTCTGAAGCCACAGGACCCACTAAGCCTCTAACAGACTGCACCGGGCCCAGCACCGCCTAAAGGGAGACGCACAGGTACCTTCTCGCTCCCATGGCGTCAACTCAAGTGGAAGTTCACTACAGGGTCTCACTGGTGCCCTCACCTCCCTTCCCTCCTCAGGACTTCAGAAGAAGTGCTGGTATTAACAGTGGTATTATCAAAGCATTATTTGTAATAGCAAAAGATTAGAAACCGCCCATCCTTCAAAGTCTATACATTAAACACAATAAAGAAAGAAAGAAGCATTTCATGTCTTACCTAGAATATTCTTTAAGATAGATAGAATATTATGATAGACTGTTAAGATAATTTTCATTTTTGTGAAATCCTTTTGAGCCTTTTGAATCTAATACTATATAAAGTAGTTGTTCAATGGTGTTTGGGTTTGTTTGTTTAATTCTGAATTAAAAAAAAAAAAGTAAACAGTTTACCCAAGAACATCCCCTCTGCCTGCAGGCCCTGGGTAACTGAGAAGGCTCTTTCCTCCTTACTGTCCCTCTTCTCAGTCCCCTGTAATCTGGTTGCTCTGCCATTCTCAAGTCCGCTGAAACATGTCTCGTTCCATCAGGGATAGGCTACTCCAGTCTTCCTTTGTTCGTTCATTTGGTCAACAGATCGTACCAATTACACAGTGGATCCAAAGCTGGAGGGGGCCTGGCTGTGTGGCCCTGGGAGAGCCCAGTCTTAGGGAAGATGGCTGCACACACCGATGAGCACAGGACAGTGGGCAAATGCTCCAGCAAAGGAGTGACAATGTGTGACATGGTGGGAGCCCAGAGCAGAGTAGGATGAATTCTCATGCAAAGAGTAAGAAGAGGCTGGCTTGACAGAAGAGATCACAGTGAGCTAGGCCTTTTAAATAACAAGTAGGCATTTGCAAAACCCCACAACTCCATTTTTCTACGTTCTCACGCAGGCCAACATATGCAGCCCCGCACACTGCTGACCACCTTTGCTTCTGGAAATGCTCTGTTCCCCCTTCTCAACTCACACTCCCTCATGGACTGTCCTCTGCAGCCTCCTTCCCTAACCCCCTCCCTCCTGCACTCCCAGTGACCTGACCTCAGCCAGCCCAGTTCTCATTCTCTCTCTACAGGTTCCTTACAGGTCACAGCCACTGCCACGGTATTGCTTCCCCCTTTAGCTGGCTGAGTGATTCCTCCTCTGAAAACATCAGCTGCCCCGTTGCATGGATTTCCCCAAGCATCTCAAAGTCAACCTCTCTACAGTGGAACCAGTATCTGCCTTTCTAAACCAACTTTTTAACCTGCTTTCCTATTTCTCATTCTATGCACAGTCTTGGCGGGCCCCCCCTGTGTCCTACACACTGTGCAAGGCACTGGAGAGACTAGAAGACATCATTGTGCCTCCAAGGAACAATTACCTGGGCTCAAGTCCTCAGCGACATCTCTCCTCTTCTCTTTCCATGTCTAATCTCCCTTGTCCCTGCCCCTCTGCCCCACTCCTGTGGCTGCTACCATGATGCCCAGCTCAAGTACCCGGAATAGCTTTCCGGAGGGGATCCCCCGCCTCCAGGCCCATCCCCTCCCTAGCCATCCTGCGCTGTGCCATCAGTGTCACCTCCCCACGACCCCAGCCTTCCTGTCCTCCTTCCTGCTCAAAGGCCTCCACTGCCTGTTTAATGAAGTCAAACACCTCACCCAAACGTTTCAAGCCCTCATAATCTGGGCCCAACCTATCCTTTCAGCCTTATCTTCTAGTACTTTTCTGGGGATAGTCTGTACCTTACGTTGTGCCCTGTTCTTGGCCTTGATCTTGCTGTCCCCCTGCCCTATATGCCCTCTCCTCCCTCTCCATCTGTCCGAATCTACCCACTCTTCCAGGGCTGGACTCCACGGCATCTCCCCCTATGTACCCCTGATGCCCTCCAACCCCCTAGCAGAAGTGATCTCTTGCACCCTTTGACCCCCACAGCTCTGTGTTTCCTCTTTAGACACTTAACACACAGGGTCACCGGATCCTCTACTCTGGAACGGATCCATTTAGAGGCTCCAATATGGCTAAGATGTGCTCCACTACGATCTGTGAGTAAGGACTGGATGTGAGTCACAGAATACGATGGTGCAAACTGACCATTAGCAGCAGAGGGCCTTGTCCTCTCACCAGATTTCCTCTGGTTGCCCTCCCACGGAGCTGACTTAGATGCTTCCGCAGCACAAGGGAAAAGTTACTCCTTACAGTCAAAGAGTCTGCTGCTCAGGGCTGCACGTCCTGTGTCCCAAATCACTCCCTTGAGGGCTCATACCAGGTCTAACTGGACGTTTCTCCCAGTTTGCCATCTACAGGCTATCATACTTGTCTTTTCCAATTCACCCACCCAGAAAGGCTTCTGCCCTTCTACCTTCACAAAGGCCAAGAGATACTCACGTTCGGGGATGGAAGCATTGTGAAGGTTGTTGCCTGAAAGCCGGGCCTGGAAGGCAGAACTGAAGAAGCCATCGCCAGGACCACTGTGGGGAAAGGAGCAGAAGACAGACAAGTTCCTGGAGAGAAATTCTAATTTCCTGGGAACCCTAGGAAGAGCCTCGTGCAACTAGTTTAAAAGAAGACAACCGGAGGGGCAGTGTGGTATCATGGGACAGACACAGGTGACGGAGTTGGAGAAACGGGGTCCAAATCTCAACTCGGCCACTTACCAGCTAGGTAGTGACCTTCAGAAGTACCTAACTTCGCTTAGCCTCAATTCTCATTTATAAATTGGGGATTTAAAAAAAATCAAAAGAACTCAAAAACAATCATGATGAAGTGAGATAATATGTACAAAATGCTGACACTTGGTGGCTTCTCATTAAATGCGAGCCTCGGCTAGTGTTGCTGTGATTGTCACCCTCCTCCAACTGCACACCTTATTCTACCCATCCCTGTGAAGCACAGGGACTCTGCTTAGGGATAAGGGGCAGTTTGGCTATTAGGAAGTTCTCCTCTTCCTTCAGGCCAGGGTGCTGGCTTTTCTGAGCCCTTTGGATACCCGGAAGACAGAACACAGGGGGAAATGAACAGATAAAACCCACCAGGTCCGTCGAACATAGCAACCACAGCCCCAGGAAATCACACACCCCACCTACAGGCTGAGAGGCAAGAAGGAGATGGGAAGCAAGAGGCTGGAAAGGCTCTGCTGTACCTTTTGTTCAGCACCATGAAGTGAACAGCGTAAGTGGCTGTGTAGAGAGTCAGCGGCAACACTATGAGGCACAGGATGCGAGCGGTCAGGTGTTTCCCCACAGTCACCTGCAAACAGAGCCAGTTTGGAGCGCTGGGCATATGGGGCTTTATTCTACCTTATACCCTCTATGCGCGTTACATGTAACTTTTTATGCGTAAGTCAAAATCACAAAAAACTGAAAAACTAAGAGCCAACAAGAAAAAATACGTGGAAACCCTAGCCTTTCCATGACACCCCACCACCGCAGCGCTGCAGGCTGGAGAACATGGGCCAGCCCTCTGCTGCCTGTGCAGGCCTTCACCCAGGACCCCAGACCATCCCTGCATCTTCAGCCTCATCACTCATCAGTCCCCTCTATATCCCAGTCACACTGCATTCCCAGCACGGTCCCCACGCTTCCTGTACTGTGCCAGCCCCATCCGTCACAGGCATAAGTGTTCCTGATCTGCATCTCAGGCCTCGGCTTCCCCCTCCCCCCCAGAAACCTTCCTGGACCACTTGACCTGGGCTCGTGCCCTTCACAGCACTTTTTGGCTGGACTGTAATCACCTGTTTACTTATTTCTCTCTCTCCATTGTCTCTGGAGGGCAGGAATCCTTGTTTTATTCATCTGCATATTCCGTGTTTCAGACTTAAAGGGTAGTCTGTGTATATTTTCTAAGCGAATAAATGAACTTATCGAGACTTTGGTTCAGAGGTGATGGTGAAGCCTTGTGGCAAAGTAGGTCAGGTCTGGAGTCAGCCTCCTCTAAGTCTGAATCCTACATCTACCTTTTACTTGTATGGTCTTGGACACATTATTACCTCTCTGGGTCTGGACTTCCTCATTTGTAATGAGAAGGTAATAACTACCTACCTCACAGGACTGTTAGGAGAGGTAAATGAGCCAGTGAAGGTGAAGCACTCTGCACAGTGCCTAGCACAGAACCAGCTCTTAGTAAATAATACTTTAATAAACTCTAAAGGCCCTTCCTGGCCTCCAAATCTGGAGACCCTGGGTCCGCGAAAAGAAATGGTGAGTTCGGAAAGTCATCCTACCCATTTACCTAAGATCCCATGCAGCCAGTGTCTGCCATATATTTGGCATGAGCCCAGCTGGACAGACTCCGTGACTGGGTAGTTTGTAGAGCATTTAAAAAACATCGCAGAAACAAATGCCAAAAGAAAATGCCAAGGATGTTAGTTCATCCTCTCCCTTTAAAACTCTCTAGCCTCCGAGCATGGCCTCCTCCTGTTGTCATGCTGCCTACAGACAAGGGCAGGAGGCAGCCCACCTCAGGCCAGAATACAGCCATTCCACCACCTGCAGCAGAGGCAGAGAAAGGCCACTGGCTCTGCTGAGCAATACCAGGGAGCAAAGACATTTCTACAAGCACTTGGGTTCTCACCACTGAAAGACTGAGGTCTCCAAACAGGTGCCAAAGGTCTGAAATGGTGTTCCACCCCACTTGCAGGATGATAAAGAGGCCAACAAACTTGACCCCTAAAGCACCAGCCAGATTAATGCCAGTCAGGCTGAGCCAGAACCACCAGGGGGCAGAGAAGGGCCTGAAAACCAACAAGACACAGAGTTCAGTTTGGCAGCTGGAACCAAACTCAAAAACGAGAGCAGCAGTGGGGAAGGGCAGAGGTTCTGTGACCCTGAGAGGCCATGCCTGCCCTCTTTCTTGAGGGCTCCTAACCTCAGGAGACCGTGGCGTGGCTCCAAGGAGCATGCGGTTATGGAACTCCTGAAACCGCAGGAAGCAATGTGAGAGTGAGTAGGATATTTTTCTGGGAGAGGGGCCATAACTTTCCTGGCTCAGTACAGGGCTCAAATTAAACAAGAGGCTTATTGTTCAGGTGGAAGGAAAAGGCAAATCCAGAGCAGCTCACCGGATTAAGTCAGCCCTCTCTCTCCTGGGTGTCGCCTGTGGCCCTTGGGAAGCCGGCAATTATTGAGTGCGTACTATGTGTCAGGCGCTGTTCCGAGCACTTGACGCGTATAAACGCTTTAACCTTCACTGCAACTCCACGGAGGTAGGTCCTATTATTATCCCCTTCTCCCACAGGAGGAAATCGAGGTACAGAGAGGGCAAGCAGTACAGCCAGCGCTCGCCAGAGCACAGTCCTAACCCTGGCGGTCGGTTCCGAGGTTTGCTCCCCTTACAGCACCCAGTGCTCGGTGCTGCAATTTTCCCATTAGCTGGCTGCCTCCTCTGGCGGACTGAAGGCCCCTGAACTGCGAGACTTACATACCTCCGTGCCTCCGGCTCCTAGCACAGGACCTGGCACATAGTATGTATTCAAGAAATGGCAGGTGGAGGTGGGCGTGGTAGGAGGAGATGACCACCCAAAGCCAGGGAGAGATGGTAGTCAGTGGATCCGGCTTTATTGGCATAATGTAATTTAATGAGCCTGGCCAAGGTGAAACCAAGCTGACTCCTAGAAAAGCCTAGGCGGAGCCAGCTCTTTCGGTTTGAATAGAATGAATGACCTACTCTACTCTCTCAGAGGCAAAAGAAGGATCTGCAAAAGACCATTCTGGAAGAAGACCAGGCCCTCCAGAACAGCTTTAGAACTGACTAGGGCCTGCAGAGATCCTCTTGACTGGTATGGACTGCTTAAGCCAACCTTTTATATAAATTATTCCTGTCACTAGGTCAGGAGTGGATGTAACCACTGAGGGCAGGGAGACAAATAGCTCCCAGGCAGTTTCTGTCCTGGTTCCTTCCCCTCCCAGGCAGTTTCTGTCCTGGTTCCTTCCCCTCTAGGACAGAGAATGTGAAAAGGATAAAGTTATCCTGGGATCCCTAACCAGCGCTGGTACCAAAGGGTAGCTTAGAAGATGGTGGGCTGGGAAGGCTTTAGGACTCTTCCATAATATCCACAAACCCCTACCCAAATCCACCCATTAGAATATTCTTAAAAAAATCATTGACATTTTTTTAGTCTTATGCAAAACAAAAAAAAGTATGTCTAGAAAACATATTAAAATCTATTTTTATGATCTAAAATGGACAATCGAAGTTTAAAAAAGTAGTATGCTTGCCTTAAGTGCAGCTTCAAGACAAGTCCTATAGGCACCCACCCTGTCCCTGGTTATTACAGAAATTCCGGAGCTGCCATAGCTTCTGACCCCCACCGCCCAGCCCGCAGAGATGGTGTTTCTGACCTGTCGGCACAGGAGTTGTACTTGACCATGCTCAGCATGGCAGCCATGATGAAGAACATCAAGATGGGGTCAAGGAGGATATACTGGGACAGAGTAAGGCATCCTGTATCTGAAAAACATGAGCTCAGCAGTCAAAAAGGGAATCAGAGATGGGCCCCCTGAGAACCAAACACCCCAACAATAAGAAACAGTGCCCCTTATACTTAATTGCATGTAAGCATTTATGCAGTCAAGACCAGATGAGCCACTGAGTCATCAGGGAGGTGGAAAGCCATAGCTTTGGGGTACATCAAAGCCCAGGGATAGGAAACTATATCTCACACTCCTTTCAGGCCTGTGACCCAAGAAACGACCCTGTCATTCAATCAGATAGAGCAGTCCTGAGACAAGGGCTCTTCCTCATTTCCACCATCAAAATGGGAGTTCTGCCACCCTGCTTATATAGCTACAGACTACCTATACCTAGGAAGTATAAGTAAGTATAGTAAGACTGGGATAGAGTCTTAGCATTATACATGAAGTCTCTGTTGGAGGCTGATTCTCCGCAAAGGCCCCCAAGTGATTGTTCTTCAAACAAAATTTCATCGCATCAAGCCACTGCTTGAAGCTTCCAATGTCTTGCCATCTCACTCAGACTAACCAAGTCCTCATGACGACTGCCAAAGCCGGCATGGTCTCCACCCTAAGCAACCTCCTCCACCAACACCCTCTGCCTCACTCACTCCACTCCGGCCACACTTGGCCTCCTTGCTGTTCCCTGAATCCACCAAATGCTGCCTTGCACCAGGACCACTGCACATACTGTTCCCTCTGCCTGAACATGCTTCACTCAGATCTCTGCATGGCTTAATCTTCTGCTTCACTCAGGCCACCCTACCTACAAGAGACTCCCTCCCCATTCCTCTCTCCCTTACCCTACTCTATTTTCTACATTGCACTATGGCTTATGTTGTTACATTTCAGACTTATAATCTACTTGCTTATTTATTATCCGCCGCACTAGCAGGTAAGCTCCATGACAGCACAGCGTCTCATCAGCATATCCTCTGAGGCCCAGAAAAGTGGCCTGGCACAGAGGAGATGCTTGAAAAACAGTTGTGGAATAAAAAAAAGAATAAATGAAGAGGATGAATAACTGAAAAGGGAAATTAAAGACACAAGGAAAAACCCACCAATCCTCTACAGAGAGGCCCTATAATCTTGCAACATATTTGTCAAAACAAAGCCAGAATTACATCTGAAATACCCACCTAACTTGGCCTGGACTTCTTTAAATGTTAAGTTCTATGAGGTCATGAATTCACTTTAATAAAAATCAGAATAGCACAGAATCAATTTCTATGGATCAATTCTCATTTATCCAGCTGGGAATTATCCACAGAAAATAAAGTTCCCTTTTTGCTATTTCCTGTGACCCAGCTACTTCTGAGACATCTGCCCTTGCATTCAGCTGAAATCAGTTTAAGGAGTGCAAACTTCTAGTAACCTGAGAGATCTGGATAGTAGCCTGAGAGAAGCAGAATTAGAATCATAAGCCTCCTTCAAATATACACATGCACACACACAAATTTATCTTCTTATCCACACCAAACTCAAATGTGGATAACCTGGAGATAATCTATTCTTTGGGATTACACATGTGAGCACTACCCTCTAATAATATAAAGGTTTGCTACACACTAATTTTATATGTAGTATCACTGGTGAAGAAAATAAGATTTGTAATACATTTACCCAATCCTAAAGTTACTTAACCACTGGCCCCATGGATAGGATCCTTAAATGTATTGATTTCCAACTACACTCATAATGTGGCAATTTCCTAAGAAACATGGGTATAAGACAACTTACCAAAGGTGAGGAGGGCAGCGGTGAGCAGTGCTGCGGGGAGGGACTTGGACAGCTCCAATACAGTGAGGTAGGCAAAGGGAACCAGCAAGGAACCGAGGAAAGCACAGAACTATGGAAGGAAAAGAGAAGCAGTCAGCCAGCTAAGCTAAGCATCAGAGACCTACTTGACTTGGTACAAACTAATGTTTAAAATGGAGGACCCTTGGTGCAGGCATGACTTGGTGACCTGAAATCACCTAGAATATCTATAAACAAGAAAGGGATGGTGTGACAGTGAATCATCAAATCAAGCAACATATATGTGCCCATTGAGCACCACCTCGAACACTGACACGAAATTAGCAAAATTCAGCCAAGGAGGTGTGTGCAGGATGGCACATGGTTTCAAGTAGGGGACTCTGACGTTGGACTGCCCCATCAACTTCTAGCTGTGACTAAAACAGTACATCTCTGAATCTCAGCCTCCCCGTCTGTGTCATATGAAAAATTAGTTCCTGCCTCATAGAGGTTTCTCTGGAGATTAAATGGGCTAATTTTATTAGCACGCACAAAGTACTCAATAAACATTAGCTTCTACTACAAAACTGTGGGTACAAGCAGAGAAAGACCTGTCTATGGTGTTTTAATATTCTAGAGAATTCTATTATTATTTCTGTTATTTCTCCCTTGGCTTTTTCCTTCAATCACAACAGAAATCACTCTTTAATCTACAGGTTGCATTTTAATTCTGGAAAAAAAAAATTATCCGAAACATCAGTATCTGAAACTTCAGTATCTGGAGAGTTGTTTTTTGTTTTGTTTTGTTTTGTTTTGTTTGGAACCACCAGCTCTCTCTCTACCTCTCTACCCTGTCCATCACAAGTAAATAGACAAGCCCAGGGAAATGGAAATTCTCACAATTGGGTTGTCACTTTTTGTCAATTGAAAGCAATGTGTCCTCGATGGACTCTGAGAAACAAACTGAGGGTTCTAGATGGGATGGGGGTGGGTGGATGGGTTAGCCTGGTGATGGGTATTAAAGAGGGCACGTTCTGCATGGAGCCCTGGGTGTTATACGCAAACAATGAATCATGGAACACTACATCAAAAACTAATGATGTAATGTATGGTGATTAACATAACATAATAATTAAAAAAAAAAGCAAGCAAGCAATGTGTCCTAGTGTGAAAGAGAACAAGGCTGTTATATTTGGCCTTGTCGATTTCCACAGCAAGCCCACAGTGAGTCAGGCCTCTATCCAATTACATATGCTATGTGATGTTCAAAAGTCATTAGGAAGACACAGAACCACTTTAGAATGTGAACTCAAGGGTTGGGGCAATCCTTATTTAATATAGTACAATATGACCATGCAAATCACCCAATGATTAGCTCAAATAAGCACACAGCATTTATCTAAAGTGCTTTGAGCTCCTTAAGGAAAGGAGCTTGTAAGTAAATGTAACCTGCTCTGAGAGCTCCATGTCCAAAGTCAGATTTTGCAGGTTTCATTTAGCTACAGATAAGGGGTTCCCACAAAGTTGGGTACTTAGGCCTGGCGATGCTCTATCAAGGCTGGTGCTGCAACTCGGGGCAAACATATAGCCTCCTCTACAAGACTGGAAAACCCCTTTTGGGTGCCTGAAACCTTCATGGGGAAAGAAGCAGGAACCTGGTGTCAGGAGTATGGGGTGCTGAGATCTTAAGGGCCCTCAGAGGTAGGCAATCCTCCAGCAGTTGTGGCCATGGAGAGGAATGACGTGTGGCCTGCCAATGTGCTGAGGCCAATGTCAGGGCTGCAGGAGCCTCCTGGCTACCCAGGTCCTAGGTTGCTCTCCAACCTGAAGTCTGAAGCCTCACACGGGCTGGGCAATAGGTGACAGTGTGTGCTTGCTCCTACCCACGAAATCTCTGTGTTATCTGTGGCCTCCCCTGCCCTTCTTACCTACCACAGTTCTGAATCTCTACACCTAAATCTTTACTACAGGATGTGGGTCTAATCATCCTCCCCTCCCACTGCCACCCAAAGTCCCTTTGTCTACACCTGCCACCACTCCAGGGCTTCCAGTTGTAAGTTCTGACTGAGTGTGGCCCCAGGGTTCAGTCTAGAGTAAGTCAGGAAGCCTTACTCCTCTCATTCCCATGTAGTTGTGATGCTCATATTTGTCCCCAGGCTTCTGGAACAAAAAAGTCCCGTCATACCCACTCAGGTAGCCAGCAAGACCTATCAGCATCTGAGGAGAGAAGGAGAACAAACAAAAAGATGATGAGAGACCTTTAAGATTCCTCTGTCCCCTAAACTTCCCTCCAGCTGCACCCAGACTTTGGCTTCCCTTGATAACTGTTCATAGGAGTTGCCAATGTGACATTTTCTCCTGCAGCTGTTGCAGAGCAAAGAATCTTTTGTCTACAGAGCTCTTTGCTTGAAACAAATCCTCTCTTGTGTTAAAGCCAAGTTCTTGGGAATAGTGCAGACTGAATACTTAGGAAGAAAAAAGTCCCACAATCTGAAGGGCAAGGCCAGGAAGAGCTCTCTCACTCAGCCTTCTTTCATTTGCTATGAAATAAAACATGACAGCCCATGGGGGAGGCCACGGGCAGGGGCTGATTCCTGGGAGACTGACCCTCTGAAAGGAAGATGAGGTTCCAAGTTAGAATGAGGAGGGGGAAAAGTGGCCAAGGAGTTCCACACCAGCAATAGGCAGAAGGGAAGAAGGGGGGGGAGGGGAGAGGGGGGAGGATGCTAAGACAGACACATTTCCCCAGAGGAGAAAAGTCCCAGGGGAGAAAATACCAAAAGGCCAGAGACCAGTTTCTCCTATTTCCAATATTTCAAAGGAGGGCAGCCTTGGCACATTCCAAACCAGAACAAATCAACTATTACACTAAGACAGATTTGTGAATCCTTCAAAACGTTCAAGAAGATCAGCTTCTTCATTTCTATCTTTTCATCTTTCAACAGTGTAAAAGTCTCTTTTCCACACAAGCAATCAGAAGCTGCTAAGCCATAAAAACTGTCAGCAAATACCAAGCATTTTTAACAGCCCCAGGCTGCCCTGCCCAGACCCCTGTGCTCCAGTTAAGCTGTGTGGAGGGACAGAATATACTGGCTGTATTAAGAAAGCCCCTCCCTGCAACACTGCTTGTGGGGCTTGGGTTTGGACCACAAACCAGCTCACTTTTTACTATAAGTAGCTCTAACCAAAGTCACCCTCTACAGTTCCACATCAAGGAATAGAGGCCAAAATTCAACAGTAAATGATTATAAAGCCTTGTTAAAAAAAAAAAAAATCCTAGGGATCAGAAGTTAATGTAACTTATTTAACATAAAATAAGAGAAGGTACTGAAAAGACAGAGCCATCCAAACACCTAGATGAACAAAAACTGACAGGTGACAAACAAATGCATGCCCCTTCCCACCTGGGATCTCAGAGAACAAATTCGCCTGGTGCTGGTATAAATTCCCAGACTGCTTGGCTGGTCTGGTAGCGTGAAAAAATGCACTGATGGTTTGCATCTCAGCTCTCTGATTGCTGGCAATACTTATTAATGTCTGAGCTACAAGTAATAAAATCTCCCTTGCGGTGGCAGGGGAGGCTGTGAGGATCAGAGACAGTACAATATGTCAAACATCTGGCACTATGCCAAGCCCTTACCAGGCACTTGAAATTCAGTTCCCTCTTGGTTCCCTTAAGATTAAAAGTAGCCCTGAGCCCTAATTTCCTAACTAACTCATTCAAATCAATAAGAAAAGGAACTTACTAGAATGGGCAAATTCAGAGAAAACAAAATAATGACTAATAAACATATGAAGAAAATGTTCAATCCAACTCAAAAAGACATGCAAATGAAAACAGTGACACACCATTTTTATTCTCAAATTGGCAAAGTTTTGAAAGTATTATCACACCAGTGTTGGCAATGGTGTGGGGGAAGCAAGAACCCTCATACACTGTTGGTGGGAATATATATTACTACAATATTTTTGAAGAAAAACATAGCAATATCTAACACAAATTTAAATGTGTATATCCTTAGACTCTTTAGTTTGGCTGCTAAGAACCTTTTAGATACACCTGCACAACTATGAAAAGATAAATGTACAAGGATGTTCACTGCAAAATCTTTTGTAATGGCTGAAATTGGAATTAACATAAATGTCCACAAATTAAAGATGGGTAAAATAATTTATGGCACATCTGTATAATGGAATACTATATAGCCATTAACATGCATGGAGCACAACAGTCATAAAAATGGCTGAGATCATGCCATCTGAGACAGCATGGATGGACCTAGAGGGTATTATGCTAAGCCAGACTGAGAAAGCAAACACCATATGATTCCATTCATAAATGGAATCTTTAAAAAAATGAATAAGCAAACAAAAACAGAATCAGAATGATAAATATTGAGTACAAACTGTAGTCGCTAGAGGGAAAGGGGTGGGGGATGGGCAGCACGGGTGAAGGGGAGTAGGAGATACGGGCTTCCATTTATGGAATGAGTAAGTCACGGAAATAGCACAGCATGAGGACTGCAGTCAGTGACATTGGAGTAGCGATGGAACAGGACAGATGGCAGCTACACTTGCGGTGAGCACAGCATAACATAGAAACTTGCCAATCACCATGGTGTACACCTGAAACTAATGTAACATCGTGTGTCAACAATATGCAAATTAAAAAAGTAATATATAAAATGAAATAAATTTTTAAAAAATGGAGTACATTTTTATGTGCTAATGTGGAAAGAAGTTAAGATATATCATGTTTAGGGGCGCCTGGGTGGCTCAGTCGTTAAGCATCTGCCTTCGGCTCAGGTCATGATCCCAGGGTCCTGGGATCGAGCCCCGCATCAGGCTCTCTGCTCGGCTGGAAGCCTGCTTCTCCCTCTCCCACTCCCCCTGCTTGTGTTCCTTCTCTCACTGTGTCTCTCTCTGTCAAATAAATAAATAAAAATCTTAAAAAAAAAAAAGATATATCATGTTTAAAATATAAGCTGCTGAACAATTTTAGTCTGGTCCTATTTGTATATATAAGTTGTTCATGTGCACGTCTGTAAATATACTCACATATCTGTAAAAGAATTTCTTTTTTTTAAGATTTTATTTATTTATTTGTCAGAGAGAGAGAGCACAAAGAGAGAGCGAGAGAGAGCACGAGCGGGGGGAGGGGCAGAGGAAGAAGCAGGCTCTGTGCTGACAAGGAGCCCGTTGTGGGACTCAATCCCAGGACCCTGGGATCACGACCTGAGCCAAAGACAGACGCTTAACCAACTGAGCCACCCAGGCGCCCTGTAGAAAGAATTTTTTTTTTTTTTTAAGATTTGATTTATTCATTTGACAGAGAGAGAGATAGAGAGCAAGCATGAGTACAAGTAGGCAGAGTGGCAGGCAGATGCAGAAGCAGGCTCCCCGCTGAGCAGGGAGCCTGACACGGGCTCCATCCCAGGACCCTGGGATCATGACCTGAGCCAAAGGCAGACACTTAACCGACTGAGCCAGCCAGGCACCCTGTATAAAGAATTTCTCTTCCTTTCCAACCAGGGCCCGGCAGAATGGCTCCCACGAAGAAGGGTGGCGAGAAGAAGAAGGGCCGTTCTGCCATCAACGAAGTAGTGACCAGAGAATACACCATCAACATTCACAAGTGCATCCATGGAGTGGGTTTCAAGAAGCGTGCCCCTTGGGCACTCAAAAGAGATCTGGAAATTTGCCATGAAGGAGATGGGAACTCCAGAAGTGCGCATTGACACCAGGCTCAACAAAGCTGTCTGGGCCAAAGGAATAAGGAATGTTCCATACCATATCCGTGTGCGGTTGTCCGGAAAATGTGAGGATGAAGATTCACCAGACAAGCTCTATACACTGGTTACCTATGTACCTGTCACCACTTTCAAAAATCTACAGACAGTTAATGTGGATGAGAACTAATCGCTGATTGTCAAATAAAGGTATAAAACTGAAAAAAAAAAGAAAAAAAAAGAATTTCTAAGAAAACATATATAAGAAACTAATAGAAATGTGGGGAGAGGTAGCTCTTGACCTTTGACTTCCTTCTGCGCTGATCAAATGTTTCACTCTGCGCAGGCATTTCTATTTCCTCCAGGGTTGGGAGCCGGCGTGGAATGACAGCTAGAAGCCTCAGTACTGCAGGAGAAAACTCCCATTCACAACTTCAAGGGGCTTTCTGATTCTTTCACTGGCTTGGCCTTAGAACCTATGAAAACTACTGTGTTCATCACTCTCTTTCAATCAGGTAAAGCACAGGACCATCAGGAGATAAATTAGGGGGGCAGACAGACCGAACTCCCCAGGGGCAGCCTTAGAAAGAAGTCTCACATTTTTCCCTGCCCACAGGGACCAGATATGAACCAGAGGAGGCTTAAGTAAAAACACATCAGCCAGTGTTCCACATGCATGTCTTCACCGTGCTGAGCACTAGGGGACTCCAAACACAGACAGGCAGTCCCCAGCTCAAAGACTGGGCTGGTTTTCCTAGGAAAAAAAAAAAATCTCCTCCACCAGGGGTCCCGGTTCCTGGGCTAGCTCAGTGCAAACATTCAACACATTCTATTGCTTATTCCTACGGTAGTTAATAGATATCATCCAAGTGGTGGGGCAAGGCAAGTGTCATGAGGCAGTGTGATATAAGGGTTAAGAGAGTAGACGGTAAACCAGCCTGCACCTTGACTCTGCCACTTACTAGCTTTCTTCCCTATGGCAAACTTCTTTTCCTCTCTGTGCCCCAGTTTCCCTACTGGCAAAATGGGGATACAACAGTACCTACTTCATAGGTTATTGTGAGGATTACATAAGATAATATACCAAAAGTGACAAGAACAGACTAAGTTTTCAATTGCTCTGATTTTTATTGCTGTTATCTTATAAAGGAGACAGGAAAGGCATAATATTTTCTACTCCAGCTCTGGGCTCAGAGCTAATTTTGAAAGAGGTCACTATCCCACCTCTCTCTCCCCCCGTGTCTGGTCCCTATCCAATGCTCTCGTGCCCCTAAGCCCACCTGTCACAGACCACCACCCCTGCCTCCCATCACCTCCGCCTTTATCCCCAACTACTCCATGCTCCAAGATCATACCTCCACTTCTTAACAGACCAGTTCTTGTCCCTTTGGTACCAAAGATCTCAGCCTCCATTAGGAAGAAAGGGCTGATCCATTAGCCTTCTCAGAGGTCGTTGTTTTTAGAGGAGTAAAATGAATTCTCACTGTGGGATTTCTAATTGTAAAACATGTAAGAGGTACAGGTCAAAGAATGTACCTGCTGGGAGTGGGAAGGAGGAAAAGGAGTTTTGCTCCCCTGGAGACAATCAGCTCCTCTCAGCAATCTCTGCTTTATGCAACATATTCCTTCTCTCCACTGTTTACTTTTTTGAACTGAGATAAAATTAATATACCATAAGAGTCACCATTTTAAAGTGTACAATTCAGTGGTTTTTAGTATATTCACAAGGTTGTGCCACCATCACCTCTACCTAATTCCAGAACATTTCATCACCCCAAAGGAAATTCCCTACCTATTTGCAATCACTCCCCAGTCCTCCTTCCCCACCAGACCCTGGCTACTACTAATCTAGTTTCTGTTTCTATGGATTTGGCTATTCTGGACATTTCATATAATGGAATCATACACTATTGTGGCCTTTTGTGTCTGACATCTTTCACTTAGCATAATGTTTACAAGACTCATCCATGTTGTAGCATGTATCAACACTTCATTCCTTTTTTTATGGCTGAATAATATTCCATTGTATAGATATATCATATTTTGTATATACATCCATTGGTTGATGGACTCCCTCTCCATTTCTGGGCCCAGAGAACTCCTCAAAACATCAAAGATTTTCCACATAACCAGCTGGCCTGGAATGTCAGGGTTTCTTTCCACAAGCCCAAGATTTGAATCCAAAATTGAGACTTTGCTCCAACCCTTTGAAGAGGGCTGTCAGTCACCACATTGCTCACCTTTCCCAGAGGTGGGTGCACATCAAAGAAAAAGGTGCGGTTGATATAATAGCTTCCCATTTTTCCAAAGTGAGTCTCATCCCAACTAAAGGAAAAACAGAAAGAGAAATGAGAATTTTTAAATTATCATACAATCTGGGGTGGCTGGGTGGCTCAGTCCATTAAGCATCTGCCTTCAGCACAGGTCATGATCCCGGGGTCCTGGGATCGAGCCCCACATCAGACTCCGTGCTAGAGTCTGCTTGTTCCTCCCCCTCTGCCCTTTGCCCCGCTTGTGCTCTCTCCCTCTCTCTCATTCTCTCAAATAAATAAAGTCTTAAAAATATATAAATAAATTATCATATAATCCAAATAGCCATAATAAAGCCTGGTTAAAATTACAGTTAAAGCCAAAGACTATGGGGCACCTGGGTGGCTCAGTAGGTTAAGTGTCTGCCTTTAGCTCAGGTCATGATCTCAGAGTCCTGGGATCCAGCCCTGGGTCAGGATCTGTGCTCAGTGGGGAGTTTGTTTCTCTGTCTCCCTCTGCCCCTCCCCCTGCTTGTGCTCTCTCTCTCTCTCTCTCTCTCAAATAAACAAATAAATCATTATTTAAAAAAACCCAAAGACTATAAGTTTCAAGCAATTAATGAGAAAATTTGGATTAAAAAAATCGTTGACACATTGGGGCATCTGGCTGGCTCAGTTGGTAGATTATGCAACTCTTGATCCTGGGTCGTGAGGTTTGTTTGGTTTTTTTAAAGATTTTATTTATTTGTTTGAGAGAGAGAGCACACATGTGTGCACGCAAGCTGGGGGAGAGACAGAGGAGGAGGCAGAGGGAGAGAGAGAATCCTCAAGCTGACTCCCACTGAGCGTGGAACCCCACATGTGGCTCAATTTCATGACTCTGACATCACAAAACCAAGAGTTCCATGCTTGACCAACTGAGTCACCCAAGGCGCCATGAGTTTGAGCCCTACATTGGGGGTAGAGTTTACTTAAAAAAAATTTTTTTTTTTTGACACAAATGATTTGAGGAAGCAAGACATCAGGCTGATTGTTTTTTATTTTTTTTTTAAAGATTTTATTTATTTATTTGTCAGAGAGAGAGTGAGAGGGAGAGAGAGCACAAGCAAGGGGAGCGGCAGGGAGAGGAAGAAGCAAAGAGCCCCATGCGGGACTTGATCCCAGGACTCTGGGATCACGACCTGAGCTGAAGGCACCCAGGTGTCCCCATCAGGCTGACTGTTAACTTTCTTTTTTTTTTTTTAAGATTTTATTTATTTGACAGAGAGAGACACAGCGAGAGAGGGAACACAAGCAGGGGCAGTGGGAGAGGGAGAAGCAGGCCTCCCGCTGAGCAGGGAGCCCGATGAGGGGCTCGATCCCAGGACCCTGGGATCATGACCTGAGCCAAAGGCAGACACCCAACAACTGAGCCACCCAGGCACCCCACTGTTAACTTTCATTTAGATAGATGAGAAAGGTTAGCAAATATAAAAATATATTTTTATTTTTAAAATTATTTAAAATTATTTAAAAATAAAAAGGCCAACCAGTTATAAATTTAAGTGAAATCTATACTTATTCTGTATCTTGAGTTTCTATTTATTTTAAAAGAGCAGAGTTTTTCTATAATATAGAAAGGTTTGTAGTAAGAGTTCTCTTCCAAGTTTGTTACCTTCTGACCCTGAGACTACTTTTGCTACTAGAAAGTAGACTACTATTGCTATTATAAACTATACCATGGGCTACTGATCAGTAAGAGCCTACAAACTACAGTTGTCACAGGGGTCTAATTTTGCGCATTAACCTTTTGGTAATTAACCTGCTGACTATGAGCTTATTATAATGAACTAACCAGTATATAAAAATTTAGTTCAGAGCCTATCTAGAAGCTATCTTCATTGCACAAACTGTTTCGCAAGTAAATAAGTGATTCTAATACATTAGCTTTTAAACACAATGTAAAAGTCTTGTTCTTCCATACAACCACATAAACCTTTTCACATCCTACACAAAGACTTATGGCAGCAGCCCAGTTATGTAGCACAGCCTGGCCATTTTTGTCTGTCAGTCCCTCCCCGCAGCTCAGAAGAGCAGTTGCTTTCTAGGGACCAGCTATCCCCAAGGCCAGCTTTTATAAGCAATTATTAGCAACCTGCAATGTAAGGGGCTAAACATGCTTTCCCCAAAAATGTAGGGTTCTTTTTTTTTTTTCCTTTAACTCAGTGGGTCCAATAGATAGGCGGAAAAGTAAATCTACTATTTGCTAAACACTCTGCTTGACACAAAATGAGGACAGTGGTATGGTGATGTCAAAGAGAGAAATAACGTCCAAGCAGTGTGACAAAATAGACTTACAGAAAGAAGAGAGATCAGTCTCAGCTCCACCACTTACTAACGAAGGCACAACCTGGCAAAGTCACCCTCCCTGGATCTCTGTTCTTGTCTACACAATGAAAACAACAAAAATATCTGCCATGTCCCCCTCACAGGGAAGCATTAGGACTCAATTCAAAAAACATATGTGAAAGAACTCTGCAGACTATAAAGTCCCACACATATGTGGAATGCCCATTGGGCATTATTTAAACTGTCTCGACACTTGTGGTTAGTTCTGAGGTCTGTTTGGAAACATGAGATTTTTGCTTCAAAAATTTCCCAAGTAAAACTAGTAGTAACATTCATATTTCTTCTCAGCTTCTATCGTGTTTGTGTTGGGAGAGACAATCCTCCCTGGCTCTCTCTTGCTCCTACAGACCTTGCAGGGTATGCCAAGAAGGCGAGGTCCTGGCCACTCTTTACTCAGGCCATTTCTCAGGGTTATGTTTGCAGAAAACAACCTTGAGGGAAGAGTTAGCATCTCCCTCTGGGAAAGACAGCACTCTTCTTTACTGCTTATTATAAAACAGTGGATTCCCCAAGCTCAGTATCCCTCAGCTGTGCTACAAGCCCCTGCATGCTCAGGCATTCATCCAGACCCATGGCATCACATGCGACTTTGGGGGCAACGGGAACTGAGGCCAACATGCTGATGCTCATCCTGCCTGCTGTGCCATGAGAAATAAAGTCCTTTGTCTCTGACTCAGTACTTTGTCGTCTGCCAGCACCCATAAAACAATGCCAGGCTAACTTATTAGTTTGCAAGTTGGGTAAAATAAAATCCCAGACCCTGACAGTTTGTGATCACAAGCATAGGATGCTGAGACGTACCTTTCTGTAAGAGAAAGGACAATGAGCTGGGGATGGGATGTGGTGGGCAAGGAAGGTAGCGAGAGTCTCCCACTGTCCTACCTATTAATGAGGCTGAATGGAGAAAGAAACAGTTTGAACGTTGCCTTGGTTACTGCTCACTCTCTTCTGGTCAAAATAAGAAAGGGATGTAATCATGACAATGGGGCAGCAAGCCTAGCAGCCCCAGCCAAAAGGCAATATGGATGTGGCTGCTAAATCAAGGACTCTCCAAAGTTTACTTAAATGGCGCCAGTAGTAAGGACCTTGCTACTCAATACAGAAAAGGGACAAAATGAAAACACTGAAAAGTCCTTGGGTAAGCTGTGCACTCAAGACAAAAGTAAATGTGCCTTGCTCAGTCGCTCACAGCCACTCTCTCCCTCTCTGTCCCATGATCCCTCCCCCTCTACCACAATCTCAGCTGCCTTAAAAGGAGTAAGATGATTAAAGGTGGGGCCAAGGTTTCCCTGTCCCTAAAGGGGGTTGAAGGCCATACACATGCTAGTATGCTGGGGAACTCCAGAGAAAAGAGGGACTCAAACTCAGGGCAGGGGCCCACATCAGCTCACTCAATCCCATGGCGGGGAGCAGGGACAATCTGCTAGGCACAGGGGTTACCAGAGGTGCAGTGTATACAGGGATGGAAAGAAAAGGGCCCTTAAGCCCAGGGGCTCACCACGGAAGTACACTGACACACGGAAGTATACTGGAAAGAAGGGGTGCCAAGCCTATGGAGGGGCTAAAGGAAAGAAAAAAGCTTCCTCCCACCCCTTGCATCCAGCACTCCACACTCTCCACTGGGGAATGGCATAATCTCTGGCTGGCTGCCATTGTAGTTACTGGTGCAGGCCTATTAGACTCCTAAGTTCAAGGGGGGGAAGCACCCAAATTCAACTGATAGGTTTGAGCCAAGCTCCAGGTGGGGAAGAGAAGGTAAAATGACCTTGTGGGTAGGGCCCTTGTACTACTGCTGTGGCTCCCAGTGTGAAATGTACACTGGCAAAGAGGATTATCCCATTCAGGGACTGCCATGTGGTCCAGGAGAAATAATATAAATTCCAAGAAGAGAAAGGGAAATCACAGCCTTGAAGACATAATGGCAGCTGGAGCCAAGAGAGGCCATTCTCCAGAATAACAGCGCGCCATCTGCTAGACGCAGGTACCAAGCACACACTTTTTTAAAAAGGGCAGCTATCAACCTACTACTAAGCTTTGATTGAAATTGAGTGCCTGACAGATGAGGGCCTTAGGACTCTTTGGCTTAATATTACCACTTTGGGGTGAGTCAACTTGGAATATAAGCCTAACAAAAAGGCTCAACAGGCTTGCTCGTCAAATGGAAGTGATATAGCTGGCCTGGCCCCTAGAGGCATCTTGACTTTATAAGAGGAGGTGGGAGCATCCACTTTGGGAGAAACTATCTTCCACTCTGCCACCCAAAGCAAAACCACTGGCTCAGCGGAGCCTTGATTCACAGAGGTTCCTCTCAAGGTTTATGCCTGGTTTACTGATAGCATCCACTGGGCAGCAGCAATCATCCAGTCCCAGTGACAATTCTGGAAAGCCAACTGCAATAAGGGTTAATGGGCACAATGGGCTGAATTGAAAGTCATCACCCTTGCCTTACACAATATTCCTGAGAAACAGACAAGTTCTATTTTTATTGGCTCTTGGGCTTTTGCCATTAGCCTAGCTTCTGGTGTGTCACCTAGAGGACTATATACTGAGAAATTTAAATCACCCCTCTTCAAGCCAAGAACTGTGGCAAAAAAATCATGGCTGCCTGTCAATGGGACAATCTGGATCACTCATATAGATGCCCAAGGTAAGGGCCAGTATTCTGATAAGACTGACTGAAATCCAGCTGCAGATCAAGCTTGTACCAAACAGGCTACTGCCACTGCCACCAGCATTCATCAATGCTCCACACGTGGAAACACATCTACCATCATGGACTGGGCACAAAGTAAAGGACTATATGTTCCGGAAGCAGAAGCCATTACTACATTGTGGTGACTTATGACTCCTGCCAAAAGCTGGCCAATTTGTCCTGCAATAAAGGAGGCCACAAGCGGGCATTGGCCCTGCCTGCTCCAAGGAAACTGACTGTATTAGGATTTGTTCCCCCCTCCGGGCTATCATTGGTACCTCACTGCTGCTGACACTTTTTCAGGTTAAAGTGTTGATGATGCTGTTCCAATCCAATCATCTGACTCCACATATGTCAGTGCAGCACCTGAAACTAAACTATGTCATTCCAAACCATCTACAGTCTGACGATAGCGCACCTTTTTTTTTTTGCAATGGCCACATAATAATGAGCCAACAGTTGAGGTATCTGATGACATTCCACACTCCCTACTCTCCAAAAGCATTTGATATTGTTGAGCAACGAACAATTTTCTCAAAATGATTTCTGACTCTACTTCCCTCACCTCCTCCTGGTTCACACACCTTGGTAAAGCAGTTTGGTCACCTAATGCAGTCATCACCAGAAATGGTTCATCTCCTCTTGGCCACCAACTGGGTAATGATCAGGACAAAAGAGGTGGAGGGTTATATAAACCTATATTTTGAAAATTTTAGATTCTTCCTGGACTATTCCTGGACATGATTCGTCTTTCTTTCCCCCTAACAACTCCAGATCAGTGGGGTGGGGAGGGAGAGGAGATTCAAACTTAATCCAGTATACTGATATTCATCCTGCTTCCTGCCCTGTGAGTAATGAGTCCTTTGTCTCTGACCCAGGAATCTCATGTCTTCTGCCAGCACTCATGAAACAATAACAAGCTAATTTATTCACTTCCAAGTAGGATAGCCCAGTTTGTTAGCTGGCTTGCTTTCTGGTCGAGGAGTTCCATTTTTAACATCCCCTACACTAACTTTCTGGTCAGGGATACTGACAAAACATGTTATCACTTGTTGGCTAAACAAATTAACCATTTTCAGATTGTGCAAAACTTTTCCTCCTTCAAGCTGGAGACTTTTTACGCTTATCTCGTGAAATCTGAGTCCTACAAAATAAAACCTTTAAGAAAACAAGTCTCTCTTCACAAGATGACCCCAGACCTGCTTCCTGAGACTCCCGTCACCTTCTCCGGACACACAAATTGTCCCTGCTCCCAAGGATGATTTTCACCTCCCCTGATGCCTAGAAATCCTACAGATTAGGAACTCAGGCCTTAGGAAATTCTGTACTAAGATTTCCAATTCTCCTTGGAAGGTCAAGGCCACAATCTGAGAGACTGCTTCCTCGGATCCTAAGGAGCAAAAACGACTCCTCTCACAGAAACTGCACCTGGCCAAAAGCTACCTCTAGCAACCTGTTTCCCCTCCACCGCAGTCCCGCCCCTCCTCCTGTGATTCCCGCCCCCTTCCGTGCCCCCGGGCCAATCAGAGAGCGCATCACTCCCACCCGGTTGCCATGGGACCCGCCGAGTCCCTCCTGTCACTCACCAGATGTGTGGCGGCTCGTCCAGACGGTGGAAGCGGGTGGCGAAGGCCAGCAGCGTCACCAGTGCCAGCAGGGTCCACCGGCCGGCTGCCTCGAAACGCCGCGAGCCCCGAGCAGGCCGTTTGGGGCTCCGCGCTGTAGGCTCGGCGGCCACGTCCGGCCCCACAGCCCTAGTAACCTGGGGCCCACAGCGGCCCCGCCGGGGACGCAGCTCGGACCCTGCCGGGCCTCTGCGCACCGCCGGCGGCATCCTGCCCCTCCTCAGGATCGCCCTCCGGCCCGCCGACACGCTCGATCTTGCGAGCCGCCCCGCCAAGAAGTCACCCAGGGGCAGCTCGGGGTGCCCTGGGAAATGTAGTTCCCTTCGCCGGCAGCGGGCCCCGGGGCCCCGGCCTCTGGGCTGCGCGGGGAGCGCCGTCGCCGTCCGGGCCGCTAGAAGGCGGCTGGTGGCGCAGAGCATGACGGATCGCCCGGGCCTGGCCGGCCGGCCGAGAACAAAACGGGCTCAAAGAACTGCAACTCCCAGCAGCTTCGGGAGGGGGGGCGTGGCGGCAGGGCGGGGCGAGCCAGACAAGACCTCAAAGATCATTCTAGTCCAACCCCTCGCTTTACCACGACGGAAGCGCTGGTTCTGACGTGTCGGGGCCTCACTGGGCCTCAGTCCGCGACGAGTCGGAGAGTCCCAGGCGCGAAGTCTCCGGCCCTGGAAGAGGGGTGCCCGGAGGTGCGAGATGCAAGCGGGGAAGGTCTGTGCCACACGTCCGGGGAGGGGGCGCTACTGAGGAACACTGAGAAACCCGGGGGGCGGGGGGGTCAAAGGTGCGCCGCTCACCCCATCTCGCGGCTTCCATAACGCACAACTCCCGGCATGCAGAGCGCCTCGCGGACCGCGCTCTGCGCCTGCGCGCTGCCCGCTGCCCGCTGGGGCTTGTAGTCCGGGGAGGTTTGGGCCGCCGACGGCTCGCGCTCTTGGGGTGTTCAGGGCGCTGTGGAGGCGCTGTACCCTCGCGCTTCACCTGTCTTTCACAGTACTTTCTGTTAGGCTTTCCAGACGTCGTCCCTTGCCTCCCTCTTCCGTATAGCCCCGCATGCTCTTTCCCGGCCAGTCGGCCCGACGGGACCTGTAGGGCCTTACCTAGTGGTTTGCACTTTGAGAGAGCTCCTGGGGGCGAGGGGAGCCAATAGCACTTTAAGTCATCACTATCACCAGGGGAACTTCCCGGGTTCAGGCTGCACTCCCCGGCCCGCCCCAGAGCCCCGGGGTCATCTTTGGGGGAAGGGACCCAAGAATCTGCATGCTTACTAAGCGCCCCCATGAGCCTTTTAAGGTCTTGAATTCAAGTTTGAGAACCACCAAGGAAGATGTCAGGCGCATCGGGTGGAATATAGCATCACCTTAATAAGGTATAGCCCTCCCCCTCCCAAATGGCATTTTAGGAGTCTTTCAAAACGATTCGTGAGGAATGGTTTTAAAATAAAATCTGCTAGAGTGGTCAGAATCCATATTTGAATTGGAAACAAAGTTCCTCCAGGAGTGGTGATGAGATGAATACTTTATTTGGGCTTAAAACTTGGCTCTACAAGTGCAAAAAGGAACACGGGATAGTTTATATAGTTATCACTGGTAAGAAGAAGAGCAGAAACTGCTCTCTCTTATTTTTCCTGATGGCCCATAAGTAGGACACTGGAGAACAGTGGCATTCACAGTGACTCTGTGGTCACCCTTAGTACAGGTCAAGATGGAACATATAGTAATTCGGTAAGGCATTTCTCCAGGGATTCTAAGCTAATGTCTGAGGCTCTCTAGTGGTCCCATCCCTCACCAGCAGTCCCTCCCTGACGGCCCTGACCAGGTAAGGACAGGGATGTACCTCTGAATAGGGCACATCTAATTTTGGCCTCCTAACTCCTCCCCTTCCAAAGACACCTGCTGTCCATCACCTGCGCTCCATACCTGGACCATCTTTACTTTCCCCACAAAAGGTGCCTTCAGTACAGGCTGGAACTCCTAGGCCTGGAAACCAACCTGGGAGGGCCTAGGTTCCCACTGTGCCTTTGCCCACCTAGAAGACAGAATTGGTAGTTCAGGGATGGTGAAGGCAGGGTCACAGAGCAGTTTGGTGTGCTGAGGGGTGCAGAAGGCAGAGGGAACTTGTGTGAAATGTCTGTAGTCGGAGGGATGGTAGACAGGGATGATCTAGAAATTTTGTTGTATTCTCTCTCCCTAATCATATGGATACACATATGTCTTCCCAAAGATTCATGAGAGCTAATTACTGACAACTCCATCCTGGGCCCTGCTTTGAAATGCTGATCACTCAAGAAGCACGGGGGAGGTTAACTTTGAGTGTCTTAAACTTTAGATTAGAGGTCACACACTCAGCCTCCTTCAGTGCCTCAATAACAAAGATGAGAGAAGAGGGCCGGGTAGGGCACATGGCAGGTCAGAGGGTGCGCCCTGACTGAAGGGGGCTGTTAATTGTCTCCTATCAGTTGTTCCTACTCAGGAACCCAAGACTACTGTCTCTAGATCTTTTTAAGAAAAAACAGACAAGGGCGCCCGGGTGGCTCAGTTGGTTAAGCAACTGCCTTCGGCTCAGGTCATGATCCTGGAGTCCCGGAATCGAGTCCCACATCGGGCTCCCTGCTCGGCGGGGAGTCTGCTTCTCCCTCTGACCCTCTTCCCTCTCGTGCTATCTCTCATTCTCTCTCTCGCTCTCTCAAATAAATAAATAAAATTTTTAAAAAAAAAAAGACAATAGGATTTGTATATGAAACATCCTGATTTTTTAATGTTGGCAACCAATTGAAACATTTTTAAGTACAAGTAGACCAAAACAGAACACTGTGGGCTGTCCTCTTGTGACCTCAGCTTTGGAGTCAATGGGCATATCCCCCAGCTATTTTTGTGAGACCAGCTGAGAACCTGGAGGACTGGTGGGTGGTGAGCTGAGAGAGATGGGCACCAAAGCATCAAAAAACTAGAATTCCTGGTCTTTCTGTCACCGCTGGGAGGAATTCAGCTATCATTTTAAGGCAACCCTTTGTTTTACAGATGAGGGAGAAAAGACTAGAGAGTAGAGAAGGCAGGGATCTGCCCAAGATCATGCAGAGCTGGTTCCTGCCCTGGGACCAGACCCCAGGTACGCCAGCTCTCAGCCCACTGAACCACATGAACTACTGCTTCAAAACCAGGACACCAAACCTGGCTCCACCAGGAACAGAAAAGGCTTCCCCCAAGTTGGAAAGAGACGCCCTTTCTGACCAGAGTCAGGAGTTTCCCTGAAGCTTGTCTCGCCCAGCTTCCCCATTGGCTCATGGGATCCACCCCCTTCAGGGTTCCTCCCCCTACTCTGCAAGTTCTGGGAGAGGGGACATTCCCTGAGAGGCCAAGGGTCACCACGACACCATGACTGAGTCTGGCAAGGTAAGGAGGGCACTTGCAGGCTGGCTGCCCCTTTGGGGGCCCCTTGGACCTCAGGGATGTGTGACGGCACAGTTTGGAGCTGAGGGACCCCACATAACTCCCAAGGCCTCTGACCCAGAGAGCTCTGAGTCGGCCTGAGGTATGGAAGGAGGCCTGGCAGGATGGGAAGCTCCCTGGCTGAGGCCAGTGGGCTCCAGGGGCAGGGGACCCCACGAGCATGGGTTAACGGGCATCCTTATCCTGTCTCTCCGCAGCCCATCCTCTACTCCTATTTCCGGAGCTCCTGCTCATGGAGAGTTCGAATTGGTAAGAGCTGGGCCTCCGGCAAGAGCGCAGCGCAAGGGGATGGGGGTAGAAAGAGCCCTGAGTGACAAGCTGGCCAGGGACACAGGGGTCTTCTGTCAGACAGGGCACCTCCACCGAGGAAGTCCAGCAAGGGGCGGGGGTGGCAGGAAGGTCTCCCGGACTGCTCTCCAAAGCCACTTGGCAACCACGCGGAAAGCAGGCTCACAAAACCCAGAGGTGCTTGGTAACTGGCAGGGAACAGCTGGCCTTGCTCGGTTCTGATCTTATTTCATCTGGGACATTAAACAGAACTGGCCCATGTTGACCCCATAGGCTTTGAGGAAGCAGAACGTGGGGCCCTCCGGTGTAGCCCCAGCTTGACACAGCACTTGGCAAAGATCATAGGCATCGCTCATACTGAGGGAAAACCGTGCTGAGTGTTTTTATGTACATCATTGCATTGAAACCTCGGCAACCCTAGGAGGGAGGGATCGTTATTGTCCCCACTGTACAAGTGAGGAAACTGAGGCATGGGGACGTTAAATGACTTGCCCAAGACTATGGAGCTAGCAAGAGGCCGAGATGGAATTCGAACAGCTAGTCTAACTCCAGAGTCCATGTTCTTAACTACTGCGCTATGCTGCCTGTCAGATGGGGAGACTGAGGGACAGGGGCTCATTAATTCATTAAGCTCCTTGCCCAAGGCCACACATCTAGCAAATGTGATGGAATCTGAACCCAAGCAGTCTGCCTCCAGGAGTCTGGCCCTCACCGGGAAGCCATCCACCATGACCCTCCCCCACCCCACCGTCACTTGGTATTTGCTGGAATCAGTAGGCAAGCGCACTGGGGTGCCAGAGGACACATTCCTCCGAGAAGACACCTCCCCTGGGCCCAGGACCTCTGCCCTAGCTGGCCAGACGGGAGCCACAGGAGTGCTGTCTCTGCAGGGCCCGCGTGGGCCCGGCCACTTGTCCACAGTGGGGCTGACAATTGCTGAGGAGTGGCCGCGCGTCTCCCAGGCTCTCTTCAGCCTGCGACACGTCTCCTCCTCCCTCACTCCTTTGCCTTCACCTGAGACCAGCCATCCCTGTGTTTCAGTGCCTGTCTGCATGTATACACACACACAGTCTTACTTGGTTGACCAGGGAAAATGATCCAAGGGCAGCGAGAGGAAATCTCCCTGGGAGTGACAGCAGATGCTGTGAGACCACCAGAGAGCCTTGATGCTCTGCTTGGAATCGGTAGTCGACAGCTCAGGACAGAGAAAACAGATGAGAGTGGGATCCTTCTCTAGAGGGGGCACCTGCTTGTGTGTGCACTTTGTGGTCACCTGAGCACCTTTCCTTGGCCCCTGGATGCCTTCATGAGGGAATAATTGCAAGTCTCCAACAAATAAGCCCTGCTCGCCACTGTTTACGGCCCTGGAGGGGGGCAGAGGTAATCAGGACACTTCCCTGCTGCCCTCCAGGAGCTCCTAGGCTGCCCGGGCACATGCCTGGGGCGCGGGGTGTGGAGAGTAAGGCTCTGAGAGTTCAGGGGCAAGAGAGCCGGAGCGTCAGAGACCTGAGGTGGGGAATGGGTGGTGACTCAGGAAGCTGGAGAGATGGGGCAAGGCCAGGCTGGGCCTTGATCACCTAGCAGCGTGGAGAAAGAAGCCTCCCTCGGCAGCCTCACGTCGAGCCAGAAGCTGTCCCCTGACTCTGCTGTCTCTCGTAGCTCTGGCCTTGAAAAGCATCGACTACGAGACCGTACCTATCAACCTCATAAAGGATGGGGGACAGCAGGTAAGGAGACCGCCCGTAGGCCACGATGTGGGAGTTGGAAGTCTTGGAGAGGGACCCAGCAGAGGGTGCAGATTTCTGCCCCCCAAGAGGTGAACCTGCCAGCTCTCCCAGTGGGAGTAAGGGGCGCAGGCTGTGCAGCACGAGGAGCCATGGGAAGGGCCCAGGTTCCAGGCCCCATGCCACAGCCTGGTCTCTCGGTGCCTGACCCCAGGAGAGTGGGCAGCGAGTGGGTCCTTGCCCCATGCTGGGCCCTCTGGACGTGCCCTGATGGCCACAGTGTGAGGTAAGGTAAGAGGCCATTGGGGTGAATCCTGGAGCTCAGCAGCCACTGGATTTGGGGATACGGCATGGATCCCCTAGGCACCTCTCTGGAGCCAGGGCCTTCCCCAGGGGAGGGAGGTGCGGGTGGGCCGCAGGCCTGGGGTCTTCCTGCTGGCTTGGTTCTGCTCTAGCCAACTTGGGCCAGGCTACCTTGCTCATCAGTTCCTTGTCTCCACAGTTCTCTGAAGAATTCCAGGCACTGAATCCAATGCAGCAGGTGCCGGCCCTGAAGATCGACGGAATCACCATTGGCCAGTCAGTGAGTGCAGGGTCTGGGAGGCCCCTGGTGAGACCGGTGCCCTGAGCGAGAGGCCCTCACAGCCCTTGTTTGGGTGGCCAAGCGCCTGGCCCTTAGTAGGGACATGATCAGTTCTTGCCAGAGGGAGGAAGGTTGCCAGGTGGTTTGGGGAAGCGAGGGGAGACTCTAGCCTCTAGGGAACCAAGTTCTGCAGGACGGGGGTCCAAGAAGAGCTCGTCCCTGGGGGAGTTTTGGCTTCATGGGCTCCCGCTGAGGAGGGCGAGGAGGAGCTTGCTGGCCCTGTCACTCTGGTCCAGGGGTCTGCACGCCCCCCCATGCCTCACTGCCCCCCTCCAAACAGCTGGCCATCATTGAGTACCTGGAGGAAACTCGGCCCACTCCACGCCTCCTGCCGCAGGACCCGAAGAGGAGGGCCCAGGTGCGCGTGATTTCCGATGTCATTGCCAGTGGCATCCAGCCTCTGCAGGTGTGGCTCTGGGCTTGCACCCCTGCACACTTCTCGCATGCCTCCCCCCATGCGCTCTTACCTCTAGACACGCGAAGTGTGAGGTGCCAAAGTGGGGCACCCAGCTTGGGAGTGGGGGTGGCGGGAGCACCGGAGGGATTCTCAGCGGCTTAGACTTCGACCATGTGGCAGAGGGGTAAGGGATCCCAGAAACTGTCTGCCCTGCCGGGTCCCCAGCCGCATTCTGAGAAGCCCCAGGTTTTCCAAGGACTCGTCCAGAAGTGCTCGGGGAGGGGTGGGGCCGGGTGGGGCCAGGTAGCAGCGGGGAGGCGGAACAGCATAGCCCAGGCCCACCCCCACCTTTAACCAGAACAGCCTCCCTCTCATCTGTTCTGTGTTCTAGATTGAGAGTCTCAACAGATTTTATTTTTTGAAGTTTTCACTGGTAAAAAAAAAAAATAATAATAATAATAAGTATTCAAGCAGTTCATCTGTGTTAACCCCTGACTTTGCAAATGAGGAAGTCACCCCAGAAAGGTGGAGGGACTTTGCAGAGTCATTCAGCTAAGTATGGCAGGGTAAGCACCAGGGCCCGGGCCCTCCGACTATGCACTGGACCCCCATACCCGAGTTACCTTGTCCTGTTTAACAAAGGAGGTTGGGGCAGACGGACAGCCCCATTTTACAGATGAGGAAGCCGAAGCTCAGAAGTGAAATGGCTCGGGGCGCCTGGGTGGCTCAGCCGTTAAGCGTCTGCCTTCGGCTCAGGTCATGATCCCAGGGTCCTGGGATCGAGCCCCGCATCGGGCTCCCTGCTCGGCAGGGAGTCTGCTTCTCCCTTTCCCACTCCCCCGGCTTGTATTCCCTCTCTTGCTCTCTCTCTCTCTCTCTCTCTCTGTCAAATAAATAAATAAAATCTTTAAAAAAAAAAAGTGAAATGGTTCCAGGGTTGTAAGGATGGAACCAGAGTCCAGATCTCCTGAAAGCCAGTCCTGTGCTCCTCCTCCATCCAAGCCCCACCCCTGTGCTGTGCACGTGCACACACACACACACACACACTCGCTCTCCTCATGAGGAGCCATGTAAGGGAGACGCATTGGATGCAGGGGAGATGGGCCTCAGGTCATGGCCACACACCTTAAAGCCATGGCAGCGCCCTGTGCCCCGACCCATGCACATCTCTGCCAGGGCCACAAGCTTCCAGACCACAGGGACCATTCAAGCAAACTGAGAAGGTGGCTGCTGGGATCACTCACCCCCTCCCAGTGCCCTGATGGGGAGAGGGGGCTCATGGAGCCCAGGAGAGGACAGATGGACAGCCAGAGGGGTGGGAACCGAGCTGCCCTGAGGGGGCTTGGCTGGGGGTCAAGCCCAGCCTGGCTCCCAAAGCCCGTCATAGCTTATCCTTGGTTGCATAGAACCTGTCTGTCCTGAAGCAAGTAGGACAGGAGAACCAGCTGACCTGGGCCCAGAAGGTCATCCACTCTGGCTTCAACGGTGAGTCCTTCCCCCACAGGCTGCCCTGTGACCACTCATAGAAATGGCCCTTGTGCCTAGGGCCCTGGGCATCTGACTCAGCTTCCCAGGCTCTTTGCTCTTGACAGTGGCATGGGTGAGGGTAGGGGCGTAGGGCTGAGGAGGTAGTAGGGCTGGATGGCATCCAGACCTGGGCTCAACCTCGGGCACTTCTGGGAACCTCAGCCCCCGAGGCCCACAACCCCTTGGAGCAGGATGGTCCACCCTTGGCCTCACTGCCCACCCCAGCCAGGAACCGAAGACCAGTAACATGCCGGCCCATCCGTGGGAGAGCTGCTGCCTTGGCCAGTGTCCAGCCTTGTCCCTTCTCGGGGAGGGAAGGACAGCTGGACTTGAGGAGCCCAGGGAAACATCATCTGTCCCCACACCCCCATGAACTCTCTCCAGATGTGGTTGGCACATTCCCTCGAGCCCACATGCCCCAGCCGGTCACTCAGATAGCTGCCCATTTCAGAACTAGGGGGGCCAAGGTCCATTCTGTGCCCAGAGTAAGATGATTCTCGTGGCCTCCCCACAGCTCTGGAGCAGATCCTGCGGAGCACAGCAGGGAAGTACTGTGTGGGAGACGAGGTAAGCCCTCCCAGGCCTTCGCACAGGAGCCTTCTCCCTCCACCCCCAGGGCAGGGGCAGGTCAGAGAGCTTCTGGAGGAGGCGTGGGGGTGGGGAGAGGGACCAAGGTCATAATTCTGGTTCCAGGGCCCCCCTACCACATCCTGAGGTGTCTCCTCCCTGCTAGGAGCCCTCAGTAAGTGCCTATGATGGTGGTTTTTAACAAGCGCGGTAAGATCCACTGAGACAGTCCAACCTTCTCTGGTCACCCACAGACTTGGGTTGTCAGGACAACTGGAACCTGGCCTGGGAGAAGCACAGCAGCTCTGGGGACAGACCCAGACAGGCCCAGGGAGTGGGAAGAAGAGAGGTGGGGCAGGGGGGATGAGGTGGAGGAGCCAGAAGCAGACAGGAATGCCAGGGGCTGGCGCCCCAGTGGACACACCCAGGCCAGCCTGTGAGTCCAGGGCACACACCCTGAGGCAGACCCCCCAACCCTCTTTCAGGTGTCCATGGCTGATCTCTGCTTAGTGCCTCAGGTGGCAAACGCTGAAAGGTAAGACAGAGCCCCTCCATCCTCCCTCTTCCGCCTGGTTCCTCCCCTCAAGCCTCCTCCCACAGTCAGGCCCTAACTTCAGCTACTGGGGAAGCCCCTCACGCAGAGACTCTCCCAGACTGGCCAAGGAGCCCCCCTGGGCCAGGCCTCCCCGGCTCCTGTGGCCTGGAAGAGCCAGGCGGAGGACCTCAGTAGAATGCCCCCTACCATGCCCATCACAGTCCGTCTGATACTGTCTAGCGTCTGCTCCTAAGAGGCGGTGGCTCACCTGGTGGACACCCCTAGAAAAAACCACCCCAAGAGTCTGCTCCCCGCGACGTGCTGTGTCCGTGCCTGGCAGGGAGCTCTCCTCTGCTGTCCTCCATCAGCCCTTCGGTGAGGCATGAGAGAGTACCTCTCTGGAAGGCATCACACCAGGCACCGTTGGGACACGGAGATGTTATGACACATTTGCTGCCCCTGAGAAGCTTATGACATGGGTGGAGAGATTATCTGTGTATGTAAATGGCGAGCCCTGTGCCTTACATGTAGTAGGTTCTCAATGAATTGCTATTACTTGGAATACGAGCAGTAGCAACAGAGATGCTAGGCCGTCCTGCATGAGACCCGCCCATCCCCAAGGCTGCCTGTGAATCAGGCTGCCATATGGCTGGACAACTTCCTGGCCCTTCCCTGGCCAGCCCCCAGGGCCTCATCCAGCCCGCCTCTGTGCGGCCCTCGCCGCCCCCAGGGCAGTCTCCCTGTGCCCCGGCAGACCTGGTGTTGAGATGGTGTTAGACAGGTGTTCTCTGCCCTGCCACAGGTTCAAGGTGGATCTCACTCCCTATCCTACCATCAGCCGCATCAACAAGACGCTGCTGGCCTTGGAGGCTTTCCAAGTGTCTCACCCCTGCCGGCAGCCAGACACACCGCCTGAGCTGCGGGCCTAGCTCCCCAGCTGTGCCCCATGGGTGAGGGGGCAGGGAGGGGGTGCAGGAGCAGAAGCTGAGGGGGATGCTGAACAGGCCTGGCAACAAGCAAGCCCTAACTGGAGAAGCAGGAGACCTGAACTCCTTGAACTTGGACTATAGCCCTGGATCCGCCTTCCCACTGAACCTCCTTGTGCCTCAGTCCCCTCATCTGTCCAGTGTGGGTAGCATGGGGGAGAGGATGCTGGGAGGGAGGGAGGCAGGAACATCACCGGTCATCTATGTCGTGGGGCAGTCGTGAAGATGAGGTGAGAATGTAGCCTAAAATGCTTGGTGGGTTTGGCAAAGAGACATAAGGGAGCCTGCGCGCCTCTTCCCATGCCCACAGCTGTACCTGACTCCAGAGAATGCCCACGCTGAAATTTGATAATTAAACTGAAGCCCAGGCCTCCAGGTTGTACAGTTAAGGCTGAACTGCGTTCCAGAAGATGATGAACACTCTTCCTAGCTAGAATCCCCCTGCATCTGGGCCAGGAGAGAAAAAAGTCCGAAAGCCCGCCAGAGAGAAGCAGACCAGATCCAGACAGAAGCGGCAGGAAAGGAAGCATTTTGTGACCAGCTGAGTTTGCAGGGCTAGAGGGTACCAGGAAGTGGCCCACTGGAGCACGGAGGGGGAAGCTGACGCTCTCAACCCAGAACAGCCCTAGGAGTAGGCACTTGGAATAAATACAGTCATGAAGGGCCCTGGGAATCAGAGGCAGGCTCCTCCATGGTCAGCGTGACCCGCCACTACCCAGGCTGGCTCCGGACCCCACGCAGCTAGCAGCTTGCCTTGAGATACCTTCTGGGAGTGGAACAAGATGACTTTTATGTCCTGTACCTGAGATTTCATTTCCCCTGCATGGCTAAGGCTTCAACAGTGAGTTCAGGTAGATGTGTCTGGCTCACATGGAAGCCACCACTCTCAGCCATGAGTCCCTTTTCTTCAGCCCCGACCCCGGGGCACCTAGTTCTCCCATCCTCCCGGGCTCCTTTGTGGCCTTTCTTTCCTGAACTTGGGTTCTAGGCTTTAGAATGACCAAAATGGGCCACTCTTGTTCCCGAGACGCGCTGGTCCTGGCAGAGCCAGAAAAAAGCACAGGGCGTTCTGTGAGACACAGCAGTGTTGAGGGAGACTCGGTGGTTCCCCCTGCCCTGCCACCATCTTTCCATCCGCTTACTCCAGGCTTGCGCGGCTGGGTAAAGCTCCCCCCCTGCACTCTCTCCAGGAAACCTTGACTCAAGAGACTGATCTCCTCAGCCCAGGGATCAGGACTCGCACCTGATTTGGATATTTGGAGTTGAAGGTGATTAAAGTCCCCATAGATTTTAAAGACACCAGCTTGCAGTGAGCCTTCCCCGGTGACTTCCCCACCTGGGAGCTGGAACGTGTGGCTTTGTGACTGGGAATGTGGCAGACGTGGCCGTTGCCCCTCTTGAACTCCTGTCCCTCACTTACCCTGGGAAATTTCCTTGGCCACTTGGAACTCTCCCACTCAGCATAGTCTGTTACCTATCTGCTTGTCTGTCTGATCCAAAATGACTTCTAAGAGTTGCCGTATTTCGGCTCAGGTCTGCTCCTGGATACTATGAGAGTATTAATTCGTTTAACCTGGGACTCTGTCAGCCATCCTGAAACTGGTGGCAAAAGCCTAATGGATTGTAAGGAAATCTAAATCAGGTAAAGAGGTGATACAGCCTGTTGTCAAAACATTCTAGAAACCATCCCTCATCTGTTGCACAAAACTCCACATATTTTTCTCCATAGTTCTGGTCCTCTAGTTCAACAGGACTTTTCTGGTATATTCAGAGGTAAATTGAAAATCAGCTGTGGGTAGATGGGAGGAGAGAGAACACATGTTGGGGGGTTTCCTCTGGGCTCAGCAGAGATCCTTGGAGTCCCATTTCTGAGGCTCTCCTTTCTAGCTGACTTTCCCTGGACCCCACCCCACCCCCAAACTCAGAGAAACCTGACCTTACCCCACAAAAACAGAAATGTGTCCAAGCCAGAGAAACTCATCTTGGACTCCTCTGAGGTGACTCACCTGGAACGTGCTGGGTTCCTGCAAGCATCCCACATGGATCATCTGCACCACTCAGAGGAAGTGACTAAACCTTTGTGGCTCTCGGCTGCACTGGCTTTAGGACAGTGGTCCATCCATCCTACCACATGATGTTTCAGTAAAGGAGATTTTTGTATTTTAAAGCTAGAACCTAAACCTCGGGAGCTCTCCACACAGCTGGTAGCACCACAAGCTGGTCTCAGGACCCCTGCCACCTTCTTCACCCAGACCTGAGGAAGAGTGCCTGGGCTCTCCAGGGCCTACAACGACTCTGGGTGTCTCCCGCAGCTTTTGGCGGACCAGGCCTGTGAGGAAGTGATGGAACTGGGGGGCTGCAAGGCAGGCCCGGGGAGCCACCAGCTCAGGGTAAACTGAGGGGTGGAAAAGGAGTGTGGAGAGGGGCATTGGATGCACAGAGGACCAGAGTTTATGAGAAAGGAGAGTGGTCTGGTTTAGGGGCTTGCAGTTTTGAGTCAGAGTGAGGCTGTCACTCTGTGTTCCAGCCCTGGGCCCTCCAAGGAGTCCGGGTCACCAGCATGGGCAGCTGACCTGCTGTTGAGGGGTGTGGAGACCCGGGACTTTGCTGGCTTCAGCCGTCCTCATTGGGAACCCTCCTCTGGGGACCTGTGGCTGGATATATGGGAGACAGGAGAACCCTCTTTATTCCTAGAGGAACACAGCTGTGCTCTAGGGAGTAAGAGAATGCAGCATTTCGAAACCATCTTCCCTGCATGAGAGCAGAGTTCCCTCGAGCACCTCTAGGGCTGCACTCCCGACCCCCGTTGCCCCCATGCCATGCAAGGGGACTAGCCTTGCTCCTTAAGCGCTTGTTAGATAGAAACCCGTCCCCGTACAGCCATGGCTGGCAACCCCCCCCCTCCTGGAATGTCTCTCCTCTTTGGGGGCCCTAGAAGATCATGAAGGAGCAAATATTTCCCTAAGTGCTGAGACTGGTCAGACCGAATGGCTCCGAGGCTTAGCAATAATTAGGCTTCTCTAAAGGGCTTTGAAAACTACCTCTTCTGTGACTTCCTTATGTCTGCAACTAAGTTCTTGTTTTCAGGGGTCAGAGGTATTGCTCAGTTCAAAACCATCACCTATTTCGGGGACATTTTCCAGTAGGGGCTTCTCTCTACAGGCTGAGTGGGCGGTAAAAGTCAAGTCCTTCATTCCCACCTCAGTTGTCAGATCCTTGACTCTGGATGTCGGAGGTCACAGGGAGACCTGATCGGCAGCCACGGGGGGAGTGGCCACAGGGGATGATGGGCAGATGCTGGAGTGGCCTGATACTGCTAATTAGGTGCAAAGGGTCTTTCACCACTGTAGAGGTAGGAAGTCCTGGCAAATACTTTAGAAGGATGAAAACAGGAAGGAGAAGCTGCCAGGAAATACTTGAGGACAAAGCAAAACATACAGGATTTTGTTCCAAAGCAAAATACATATCCATTAGGGTACCTGGTTGGCTCAGATGGTTGAGCGTCTGCCTTCGGCTCAGGTTGTGATCTCGGGGTCCTGAGATCGAGCCCCACATCAGGCTCCCTGCTCAGCGGGGAGCCTGCTTTTCCCTCTCCTTCTGCCCTCCCCCTTCTCATGCTCTCTCTCTGTATCTCTGTGTCTCAAATGAATAAATAAAATCTTTAAAAAAAATACACATCCATTAAGGAAAATAGTAAGCTTACTGAACATGCTGGTGGATACACATACTCGTAAGGACTCATTGTATCGGCCCCTCCTAACTTTTAAACATAACTTATTTAGTTCTTGATTCCAAAGTCACCAGCAGGCATCAATCCACTTTGGGAGAATATGTGAACTAACACGGCTGTTGAGTTTAGCCAGAACCTCGTAGGTTAAAGTACATCAGGCTGAATGTAATCCGAGCTATGTCAGGGTCAATGAAATGACAGGACTGCCCTTTTTTTTTTTTTTTAAGATTTTATTTATTGAGAGAGAGAGAGAACAGGGGGAGGGGCAGAGGGAAAGGGAGAGGCAGAGAATCTCAAACAGCCTCTGGGCCCAGCACGGAGTCTGAAGCGGGACTCAGGATCACGACCCTGAGATCATGACCTGAGCCAAAATCAAGAGTCGGACACTTAACCGACTGAGCCACCCAGGCGCCCTGAGAGTAGTATCTTTAAAAGTTAAAAAATAACCTTCAATATGGGGCAGCTGGCTGGCTCAGTCAGTGGAGCGTGCAACTCTTGATCTTGGGGTTGTGAGTTCAGGCCCCACACTGAGTGCAGAGAAATTTTTTTTTTTAAGATTTTATTTATTTGACAGAGAGATATAGCGAGAGAGCGAACACAAGCAGGGGGAGTGGGAGAGGGAGAGGCAGGGAGCCCAATGCAGGGCTTGATCCCAGGACCCTGGGATCATGACCTGAGCCTAAGGCAGACGCTTAACGACTGAGCCACCCAGGTGCCTTGAGAGTACTTAAATTCTTTAAATAAAGTGACTTTCAATATGTTATGTGTTAACGGTGACATGTTACATTCAGCATACCCAAACATAACTCATTAAAGACCCCTAGCTCCATGTAGTCTGCCTGGGCTCACATTTAACATTCAGCATACCCAAACATAACTCATTAAAGACCCCTAGCTCCATGCAGTCTGCCTGGGCTCTTTACTGGTTGTGCTGTAGTTTGGTGGGCAGATTATATTTATTTAACTCACAATTATTTCCAGTCCCTTCCTCCTTTATACAATAGCCTCTAAACTATGTTGCAAAGGAAGGCAGAGAAAGATCCAACAGGCCTGTCATAGAACCACAAGTATCACCGAAGAAAAGATTTCAATGGTACCCTTCCTGCTCAGATTAGGAGTCTTTCTCATTTTGTAATAAATGCCAGATATGTGCACAGGCAGCATTTTAAGAGATGTCTAAGACATCTTAGGGTGTCATTTTTGAAATGAAAATAGACTGAATTAATATCACCCAGACTGTGTACATGATTACCCTGGTATCCACTGTACCAGTTCCAAACTTGAACACAGGAAGTTCATTGGAAAATGAACATCACTGGAAACTAGATACTGATTAAACTCTAAAATGTTCTATTTAGTGATCATCGCTCTAAACCCACTTTTTTTGCCCTTGGGCCGAACCCAGTTCCCAGTTCGTAATACTCTGCCATGAATTTAAACACAGTTGAAAGATCTGTCATTAATCTGTCTCAATTTTTTTCTTGTTAATTTTTCTTCAATTTTTATAAT